CAGATACCCCAGCACCACACTTCTCGGCCTCAGGCGAAACCCAGGGGATCTGGTCACGAGCCCCTTGTGCAAACGGCACTCTCTCGAGTGAGCTGCACTAAACCTGTAGAGGAAAACCACTTACAGAAGAGCAAGAACCTCCAAGTCAATGAAACCCAGACCCCGAGAGTATGATATGTCACCGACGTTGACTGTGTCACGTTCAGTTTTGCGTTCTCTGTGGTGCCAGACAGCGTGTTTCCTCAAGCCACCCCAAACAAACTCAGAATCTAAGTAAGAGAAGCGTGTCCACACTTGCTGTACGCACATGGTTTCAGGACAAGCCCCCCGGTGGTTGTCCCTTCCAATCAGATTACTGCCCCGAAGCTCCTCCTAGGTGAAAATCCGAGAGTTACCCTGGGCAGAGTCTCCGGCCTCCAGGAGCTTGAATCTGGTGGCAGCTCAGGACATGCACACAAACCTCTTTGTTAATTGCTACAGTGGAGGCATTTGTCGGGAGAGAGTAAAGAATTTTGCATTTGGGGGTTAAAGAACCTTAAAAAATGTGACGTTGGAGGAACGGAAAAGCGTTCTGGTTAAAGAGAACAGCAAGAGGGAAGGTTTGTAGGGAGAAAACATCAGAGGTGACAAACAGGGGCCAGGCAAGTGGTAAGTGGGGGAAGCAGGCCAGGCCAGGGAGCATGGGGCCTGTGCCGACTGGGAGCACATGCCCTGTTGATAAGGTGGCAGCACCTGATGAGCACCCGCGGACCGTGGGTGCACTGGAACTCAGGTCCAACGCTACCCCAATTTCTGGTATCTTTATTTCTTTAAAAAAAATATTTTATTTATTTATTTGTCAGAGAGAAAGAGAGCACAAGCAGGGGGAGCGGTAGGCAGAGGGAGAGGGAGAAGCAGGCTCCCTACTGAGAAAGGACCCCGATGCGGGACTCGATCCCAGGGCCCTGGGATCATGACCAGAGCTGGAGGCAGACACCTAACTGACGGCGCCACCCAGGTGTCCCCAGAACTTCTGATTTCTTAAGAGAAGCTGAAAATCCGGGGTGTCATGCAAAATCTCCTGATTTTTTTTTCATGTTTAGTATCTAAATCCAAATATATTTAAACATGATGTGGGCCAAACAAAACTGCCTGCAAAGGACTTTGAGCCTAAAGCTGGCCGGTTGGCTGAGAGTGCTGGGCCGCAGAGTGACTGGGGGGAGCCTGGCTGGTGAAGAGACTGAAAAATTCGGGGAATCCGTCATGAAGAAGCAAGCCCGCAGGCAAAGGCCTCAAGACTACCTTTTTTGGCATTTGAGGGGAAGAGGTGTTCCTTTAAGAAGATTGAGCTGGGAGTGAAATGATCCGACCTGCACATCAGGAAGATTTGTCACCTGGTGGGGAGAAGGGCAGACCCTTGTAAGGGAAAGGCAGTAAGGACCTGAGACCAGTGGAGGCAAGGAAGGGGGAGAATTGACATGAGAGATGTTTTGTGATAGAAGCCCTGCGTGGCTGGATGGCTGGGCGGGGAAACCACACACGCCAGATACAGGAAAGGACCGTGTCAAGGTTAAAATACTTTGACCGCCAACCTCTCACTGATTTTTGGTGGGCATGTGGACAATGGATGGATACGGGCCAAGTGCAAATATAACAAAGAGTACACTAGCTCAGGATTTCTCTACTTTGGCACTATGGTCATTTTGAGCTGGATAATCCTTTGTAGGGGTGGGCGGGGGAGCTGTCCTGTGCTTAGTGGGATGTTGAGCAGCATCCCTGACCTCTACTCACTAGATACCAGTAGCACACCCTCCCACTCCAAGTGGGGACCACCAAAAATATCTCCAGACGTTGCTAAATGTCTCCCGAAGAGGACAAATCAACCCTCGTGGGGAGCTATTGCTTTAGTGTCAGAAGAAGGGAAATTCCCTATTTGCTGTTTCCCTTTGTTTCTTTTCACTGCAGTGGTGGTGAGTATCTGTTCGGTTTTGGCCTGATAAAAGGCATAAGACCCTTTGTGAGATTTTTACCTAAAGGCCAGAATTCTTAGCTAAGCCCTTGGTATATATGCTGACGCCTGCGTCCTTGATGAATTCAGGAGGGTGTTTCTAACTGGCTGGAAGGAGACCTGACTTTGGAAAGAGGAACATCATTCTTTCTCCCCAACTATTTTCTTGTTTGTGCCCTTTCCCAACTCCACTCACAAAAAAGGAGGAGGCCTTAGCGAAAAGGGTAAAGATCCAAAAAGCCAACGGGAGCGGCCAAGGTACCTGGGGCAGTCCAGAATTCCAGCCACCTCAGGGCCAAGGCGAAAGGAAGGACAATTGGTAGTCTCACACCCAAATCGTCAGGGGCCCAATGAATTACAAATTAAAGCTAAACGTGATGCGGACTCATCGTGACTCCGATTACACAAAGCCCAAGTAAGAGCTGTTTATTGCAATGCCTGGGAACCTATCCCTTCGTCTTCATCCTCCTGCAGACCAGAGCAGTGGCCTAATTCAATCTAAGATGCTCTTTGAGTAAAAGTACACAGAAATTACAAATAAAAGATTGATGTTGAAGAGAGAGCATTCCTAAACATTTTTTTTTTAAATGTGGCTTAAAATTTAGGGTAGAGAGGAAGTGGGACTGCCTGGAACACTTGTTTTTTGTTTTTAAAGATTCTATTTATTTATTTGACAGAGAGAGACAGAGAGAGAGAGGGAACACAAGCAGGGGGAGTGGGAGAGGAAGAAGCAGGCTTCCCGCTGAGCAGGGAGCCCGATGCAGGGCTTGATCCCAGGACCCTGGGATCAGGACCTGAGCCGAAGGCAGACGCTTAACAACTGAGCCACCCAGGCGGCCCTGCCTAGAATACTTGTGCTCACCGCCAGCAGCTCAGTAAAATTATGGTCATGCCACTGCCCTTTGTTTTTTGCCTCACAACTCTCAGAATTCTCAGGACCTTCTCTGGAGGCTAATGACCAGTCGTGACCCTTATTTTTCTAATCATTTGCTGCCAATTCATTAGGCACTCAATCTGTGCCAGACAGTGCCCACGGTGGCACTAAGCCAGTCCCCAGGGGCTCCTGTTCCAAGTGGAGACTTCGTAAAAGGCCGATGACATGATCATTTTGGAAATGTTATTATAAACTTATTGTATAATGTTTATAGCAAATGTCAACAAGTATATGTGTGTGGTGATGTCAGCGGGGGGGGGAGGTCTTAGGTTAGAGTGGCTGGCCTATTTGCAAGGGGATTCAGAATAGTAATATCTCTCAGTTCTACCAGCTTCCATAGCTTACCAAGTGTTTTCATAAACATTACGTCGTTCAGTAATACATGCAGACGAGTGATTCTGAACCTTGAACGCAAGACTTATCTCGAGATTCTTTACAGGGAGGCCTGCCTCCTGGAAGCCTCCTTTGCTCCTTCTCTCCCAGAAGGTGCCCCTTCTTTGTGCCCCACAGTTCCTTGCTTTTGCCCTTATGAGAGCCCCCCACATGGGTGGCAGCTCTTTGTTGGCAGGGCCTGCTTTTAATTAGGGGCTACTCCAGTTCCCGGAAGGACAGTAAATATTTATTGAACTCAAGGGCCATAATTCTCAGAGTGAGGCCTTTGTTTCAGGTAGATTAAACATCCCTATGCCTGGAGACTAGGTGTGTTATCGCATTTTTACTGCTGTATTTTTTGCAACAGATTTCAGGTGTACACATTGGCTTCATTCAACCAAAATACACCTGGGTTAGTGGGTCTCATCATCTATCCAGATCTGACCCTTTTTTGGGGGGTGGTGAGAGAATAATGCCCCTCCCCAAAGATATCCATGCCCTAGTCCCAGCCAACTGTGAATATGTGACTTTATATGGCAAAAGTGACTCTGTAGATGTGATTCAATAAAGGATTTTGAGATGGGGATTATCTGGTAGGTCCAATCTAATTACCAAGGTTTTTTTTTTTAATCAAAAAAGGCGGCAGGAGGGTCAGAATCAGAGAAGTGACCTGAGCAGTGGCCTGGGCCGCCTGGAGAAGCTAAACACTGCTTCTCTCTCAGAACCTCCAGAAGGAACACAGTTCTGCTCACGCCATGATTTTGGCCCAGTGAGACTTCTGACCTCCTGAACTCTAAAAAAAAGAAACCCGTGTCAAGTCACTACATTTATGGTAATTGGTTATAGCAGCAATAGGAAAGTAACAGGGGTTCCCATTCTCCTCCACCCCCAGCCTCATTGACCTTCATAGTCACCCGCTTTCTGTGTGTCCTTCTGACTCACCTTCTGACTCTAAACCTGTGAAAAAGAAGTATGTAGAAAGTTGGTTGCGTGCTTTTCGGAATGCAAGTACTGGACATAGTGTGGCACTGTCCTTCCCATTTAAAATTTTGCTCCCCACCACCACCCCCGACTCAACATTCTGTATTACCAGCTTTCCAGTACACCTTCCGGCCTTTTCGCCAAACACGCCCCTGCTAAGTCCCCTCTTGGGTCTTGGGCCCGAGCCCATCCTGGGAGGTGGGGTTGGGATTAGGAAGGCTGGAGTCAGAGTTTAGGAAACAGGGGCTTAGAGGCCGACGACTGGGAGCCGCCTCTCCGGACTCCCAGGCCGAGGCTCCTTCACGGCGGTGGCCCTAACCCGGGGCCCCGGGGCGGGGGCGGGGGAGGGGTGGACGGCGGCAGCCCCGGCGCGACCCAGGTCCCGCAGGTCCGCGCGCACAGGCGGCGCCGGCCGGGGCTGGCTCGGGCGCGCGGAGGGCGGGACCGGCAGGCGCCTGGGCTGAGCCGCGACGTGCTCGAGGAAGTTCAGTCTGGCCCGAGCCGAGCCGGTGCTCCGGAGGGGCCGAGGCAGGGGCTGCGGCGGCGGCGCTGCGGGGCCGTGGAGCCGCGGCGGGGCCAGGTGTGGCGCGGCGAGAGGCGCGGGAGGTGCGGGAGGCGTGGCAGGCGCCCCCGGCGCCCCGCCCCCTGCGCCCGCAGCTTGCGGCTCGGGTTACCTGCGGCGGGTGGGCGGGGCGGCCTTTCCGGTCTGCGCCGGCCCCCAGTCTCCAGGGCGGCGGAGCCGGGAAGTGGGAGAGGGAGCGAAGGAGGCGGAGACTGCAGAGCCCCGCAGCCCGGCCGGGCTCCGAGGACAGGGGCTGCATGGAGCGGCCGGCGCGGCTCTGCGGGCTGTGGGCGCTGCTGCTGTGCGCCGGCGGCGGCGGCGGCGACGAGGGCGCCGCGCCTACCGGTGAGTTTGGCTGAGGGCCGGGGGCGGCGGCCGAGGGGGCGGCTGGGGTCGCGGCCGACAGGGGCCGGGGGCTGCGGCGAGGGAGGGCGCTGGTTGCGGGGGGCCGCCTCGGAGACCGCAGCCTTCGGCGCCCGGTTCGAGGTGGGGTTCCCGGGTCGCGGGCGGCCGTGGCGGCGGCGGCGGCGGCGGAGCGGGACGACGACTCGCCGCCGCACTTCCCTCGCGTCGTCGGGAAGAGCCGAGGAGCCCGGGGCCCAGGCGCGGGAGAGAAAAGGGGCCGCGGTGTCCGAGGGCGGCGGGTCGGGACCCGGAAAGTCGCCCGGGAGGGGACGAGGGGGCCAGGAACCGGCGGGGTTGGCGACCAAGGTCCGGGCGAGCCGGGATCGCCCCGGGGCTCCTTGCCGGGGACCTCGCCGGTCGAGGGCGGGGATGGAGTTGAAGGGAGCTCCTGAAGACCCCGGTCCTCGCAGAGAAAGGACGTGGGGGCCACGGCCTCCTCTGGCGTTCGACAGATCCGTTTGGGAAACCCGGAGCAGCATCGGGGTGGAGGCCTTTTTTTTTTTTTTCTTTAATAGCCCTTAGATTTGGAAATCATTTTCGGTTTACAGAAAAGTTGCCAAGGTACTCCAGGGAGTTCGAATATACCCCTCACCCTGTGCGGCAACTTTTTCATTAATCAGCCGGGCAGAGTTCTACCGGGAAAAGTAGAATGACTTCCTCACGGACAGCTCCCGGCTCGAGTGGCCTTTTGGCCACGTCGGGTGACCACAGTGGCTCCAAATTTGAGAGGTTTTATTACCATATTGACACAGACACCCACAATTTGCTTATTGCATTTTCACCAGTGTGTTGGTCTTTGAAACCCAAGCTGAAGTGTTGATTGGGAAATCTTGATGCCCTCTATTGATTCAGTCAACAAAACGTACGCAGTCAGCTCTATGCCAGGTGGTGTTCTAGGGGCTGAGGATGCGGGAGTGAGTGAAACAGACCAAGCCCCCGCCCTGTACAGCTTCCGTGCTATTGGCAGAGTCCCGGGGTTGGGGGCGGGCGGAGCCGGGGAGTAAAATATCAGGTATGTCAGGTGGCGCCAAGTACGATGGAGAAAAACGAAGCCGGGAAGGGGTTTGCCGTTATAAATACGGTGAAGTGAGTGGGAAGCCCTTACTGAAAAGGTGGCATTTAAAGTGGAGGCCTGAGGCAGGTTTGAAGTTTCCAGTTAATAATTATTCAAGCGTCTGCGTTGCTGAGCTCTGAGCCAGGCTCTGGGGGTTCTCGGAGAGCCTTAGAGTGTACAGCATAATCCTTGCCGCCCCCCACGTGCCTCCAGTGCAGGTGCGGGATCGGATTCTTACAACCATATGAGGAAGCTCAGTGCTTCCTAACCCCACTCGTTAGGCTCCTGATTTTCACCGACCTGCTCCAACACATTCCCTCCTACAGACTCCCACACACACAACAAACAACAGCTGGCCTTCTAGATAATGCCCGGCAACCCCCCACTTAATCAGTTTTGTCTCAGCGCTTCATTGGTAACTTGGTTACTTAGAATACAGAAACTTTTTTCCCATTAGAAAAAATATTGATGGGGCGCCTGGGTGGCTCCGTCGGTTAAAAGCGGCTGCCTCTGGCTCAGGTCATGATCCTGGGGTCCTGGTCTGTCGAATAAATAAAGAAAATCTTTAAAAAAAATATTGGTAGAATTGCAAGGAGGTATGGTGAAGGGAAAAAAAAAAAAAGAAAGAAACAGGGGACTTAAGTTTTCTGACATTTCCCAGCTGTGGGGCTCTGGGCTAGTCATTTCCCTGTGCTCGCATGGCAATTTCTGATCCGTAAGTTCTAAGGGCTCTTCCTAGCTCTAAGCTTCTCAGTGTTCATGAAAATGATTAGGTTACCAGCTTTGTTTAGTCTGTTTAGGCTGCTGGTCCACGTGGCGGCATGTCTTAATAACCACAACTAGCATTCTGTAGTGTTTAATATACTCTGTGCCACGCAGGGTTGTGAGTTTTTTCCACTTACGTTGTTTCATTTCGTCTTTACACAAAACCTATCCTGTAGGTGCTGCTGTTGAGTCCCACCTTGTACGTGAGGTAGCTGGGGCACGGTGAGGTTAAGAGCCTTGCTCCAGGTCGCATGGGTTATGGTAGAGTGGAGCGAGGCTTCCAGTCCCTGTGGCCAGACTCCAGGGTTCATGCCCTTGACCACTGTATTCAGTGCCCGCTCTGTTGAAGGGAGGGGAGTCCTTGGCTGGGAGAGGAGCTGGGCACCTCCCAGAGCAGCATGGCAGGATTGGTTGGGACCCATGAACAGATGTCCAGGTCATCTGTTAAGAAGTGACGGACTGTATATTGGAGACTCGCTTTGTAATGGCCACAGCGCGTGGTCCAAACCGTAAGCACTGTAGGCTTCTGGAGGAGGGAGAGCCGTGAGGGCCGGCAGTTGTGTGGAAGTGGTAAAAACTTGAGCTAGACTTTCAGGATGGGTGGAATTTGGGTGGAGAAATTCTTCCGAGTTGGGGGAGAATAGCAGGAGCAGAGATGCAGGAGTATGGGGGCAGAGGGTGCTCCTTTGTGGGCAGTGAGCAGCCCGGCTTGGCAGGAGGGTGTGTTGGCAAAGTCGGTCGAGGCGGAAGAGTTTCGTTTGCCCACGAAGGCCCTGAGCGGGGCACAGCGTGAGGGACATGACAGCGGAGGAGAAGCAAGCAGGGAGACTTGACCGGGTGACAGGAATCGCTGGAATGTAAAGCTACGCAGGGCTCCAGGGTTGAAGATGTCCCCTAGACAGATGTGAGTGTCTCCTGTCCAGGGCAGTGACTTAACTGGTGTCAGCCCGCCTCAAGGGGCCCAGCAGAGCACGTTGGTGTAATTGGGATGATTAAAAGAGATGTTGCAAGAAGAAATGGACAGACATTGATGACTGACTAGATGTAAGGGAAGGAGGCGGTGACTCATATATGACTGTTGTGATTTCCTTAACTTTTCCCGGAATATGCATGCCTCTGCCAGCTCCTGGGATGGGATAGGAGAGAGCAAAAGTGAATCCCTAAGCAAAATGCCTTATTAGAAAGAGCACGGACCGTGTCAGTTCCTAAGTAGAATGGGACGCTGTGCTTCATGACCATACAGACTCACTTGAGGTCTGAAGTTGAGTTGGGGGGAGCCACCCACTTGAGTCCCTCCCACCTGCCCATTCCCCTTTTGGAAGGCAGTGATCAACCTCTAAGAAATGGTCTAACTTGTTCTGTCTCACAGGCTGCGGGCACGTATACGTTCCACAGCCAACGAAAGCAACTGTTAAGAGCTGTTTTGTTTCTTCAAAAAGAAAGTAGATAACATTTCCATAGGACTTGCTCTGGGCCAGGCACTGTTCTGAGCATTTTATCTGCATTAACTCAGTTCATCCTCAAAATGACCCTTTTTTGATGGGTTATAATTTTTATCCTTGTGTTACACGTAAGAAAACTAGAGCATAGAGAGGTTAAGTAACTTGCCAGCTAGTAAGTAGCAGAGCTGGGACAGGAACTCAGGCAGTCTAGCTCCAGAGTCCATGCTCTTAATCCTAACCTCTACTGAAAGTATATTATGTCTTACACATGAGGAGCTGTCAGAGATCTTTACAAAAAGTACAGCCACCACTTATTTATGTACATAGCTCAATGTGTTATATGCATATACACACGTATTCATTTCTATCTAAACGTTTGGAGATTGTATTTAAAGTTTCTGGACAAGTGCGCGTATGTGTGTGTGCACGTACATGCGTGTATTTTAAAGTATAAGAAGTAGAAAAATCTCAAGGGAAATGGAAGGAACCATTGGGGGGAAAAAAGGATGGCAGATAGCCGCAAATACTCTAAAATGCAAACCAATTAGAAGATTTGACTAAAAGACACTTCAGAACAGATGGGGGGAAAAAAATAAACCCATATTGGAGAGATTGGAAATAATGCAGGCTATTGTTCTATCAAAATACTGAGGTTAAAAAGTAGATTTTATAAGTCGCCTTGAAAATTAGAGTGTGATTTATGCGAACCATAAATAGGTAATTTTTTTTTTTTATTATCAGAGCTTTGATTTTTGTGTGGGGGTAGGAAGGTAGAGTGTCAGCAAGTTTGCTGCACTCTGTTTCTGGAAAGTACAGAATAAGACTGATAAGCCTAAAGTAGATTATAGTCTTTAGGAGGAACCAAGTTTTTATTTTTTAATTATTTATGTACTATTTATTTATTTAAAGAGTTATTTATTTGAGAGAGAGAGAAAGAGCAGGGGGAGGGAGGGGTGGAGAGAGAGGAAGAGAGAGTCTCAAGCAGACTCTGTGCTGAGCGCGGAGTCCGACACGGGGCTCGATCTCATGACCCTGAGATCATGACCTGAGCCAAAACCAAGAGTCCGACGTTCATCCGACTGAGCCACCCAGGTGCCCCGGAACAAAGGTTTTATTAGAGGCTCCATAGCTGACAAATGATTTGTCTTCCCAAGTTTCATCCACGTGATGTTAGAAAGACCAAAATGGAGTAGCTGTACTGGCCGGTCATTGCTTCGAATCCTTACGTTAGCACTGTTGCCCGAGCCGTGGGGGCTTCCAGACACTAGCTGGGTTTTGATGCAGTGCAATAGGAATTTTCTGCTTCTGCTGGTCCTGCTATGGGCTGCTTCTGCCCACAGTTGGGCCTTTGGTCAGCCTTGTGGAAAAACTAATGGTAGAAGAGTTGGGAAAGAGGGAATGAATATCCAAAGTCCAGGGCCTTTGCAGGCTGCATGACTAAAACTGACGTTTGGGGAAATGTCAACTATGTAGTGCCTGTGGGGCTCCTGTTTGGGGACAAAAGGCATTTTTTGTTCAGTTAAAGAGGAAGGTAATGGTGTAAGTATTTACAGATCATGTAAGAGGCCCAGTGCACTACAGAGTGTTGGCATAGAGTAAAAAATACAACTCTGCGGATTGACAAATTAAGACAACTGTGGCTCGTAAGTAATTACTAATGATTGTTTGCAACGTTGGACCATTTGGAGGGATTGTTTTTCTTTTTAATTACTTTAATAAACTTTATTTTGGAGTGATTTTCAATTTATAGGGAAGTTGCAAAGATAGGACAGAGAGTTCCTGTACACTCCTCATCCAGTTTCTGGGGGACAGTTTTGGTAGTCCTGGTCACAGGAGCTGTCAGCAAAGTTTGAGATGATGTTTCGTTCCCCCAGCCCCCGCTCTCTGTATTTCCCTGCGTTGGGCAGAAGCGTTAAAACTCCTTTCCCTGGTGATAGAACTTGGTCCAAAATAGTAGAGTCACTAAGTATTTGGTAGAAGCAGTGGTGGGTTTTCTTCAAATGAAACACATTTTTGAGACACTGGTTCAGTTTCTCCTCTTTTCTCTTCCCTCTTCAGATTAGTCAAGGCTACAGTCCCAGCTGTTTATTGTCAGACCTCAGGGGAACAACAAGGACTCCTAAATCTCTCTCAGGACTTCTTTGGAAAAGCTATAGAAACAGTTACCAGGTCACGTTAGCAAGCGTGATGAAAAGATATGCTGCTTAAACTCACGCCCAGAACTGCTGAGATTGAAGTGGCTCTGTCGAGTGAGGTGTAGATCCCAAGCATAGGGAACCCCAAATTCCTGCAGGAGGGAAACGGAAATTTGAGACTATACTCTTCCCTGGGTCCACACTACAGTAAGTAATTAAGAATGTGGCCTTGGAGGCACACTTTCTGGGTTTGTGTCCTGGCTCTGGCGTTTATGAGCTATGGGGGACATGGGGCAAGTGGCTCATTGTTCTTGACCTCTGTCATTTCATCTTTAAGATGAGGCTGATAGTCCCTGCCTCGCAAGATGGTTGTGAGGAGCCAATGGATTAGTGGGGAGAGTACTTAGAACAGTGCCTGGCTCAATAAATGTTAGCTGTCGTTAACTCAGTTTTATTATTCTTGGCCTCTAGGACTGGGAGGAGTGGCTTACGTCGCCCACTAAAAGCACTGGCTGATGTTGATAAATTTATTTCTTGTGCTTGATTTGAGCAGAAACTCAGCCACCTGTGACAAATTTGAGTGTTTCTGTTGAAAACCTCTGCACGGTCATCTGGACATGGGATCCTCCTGAGGGAGCCAGCCCGAATTGCACCTTACGGTATTTTAGTCATTTTGACAACAAGCAGGATAAGGTAAGTGTTCTGGAACGTATTGCATTGATGAGGTAAAGGGAACACTATGAATTGGAGCCAAGAATAAACGGAATTCTAATCTTGCTTCAAAGTGGGAATTTTGTTTTGGGTCGTGTCCCAATTTTACCTGGGAAGATGGCTGAAAAGACTTGAAAAAAAAACTGAGCATTTGAACACTTGAAAATATTTGCTCATTATCTGATAATCAAATGCAGTGAGATTACTCTGTTAGGAAACACGAGATATCTTTTATCTACTAGGCACTCAACAAATAATTATGTTAAAATGTGTTCCCGTGTTCCTGCCTGTAGCCTCGTATGTAGACCACACTTCCAGTTTCTCAGGGAGCTTTCATACTCAGCGTCTTGCTAACAACATGCACACAGATATGCAGGAACCATGCAACGCAAGAATAAATGGCCACGTGGCAAGTGAAAAAAGAAGGTATCTGTGGCAGATAGGCTTGACTAGGTTTCCCGATGCCTGAGGAGGAATTAGGGGAACATTCAGCCTTCCCAGTCAGATGTGGTCAACTGGCATAAGTGAATTTTTGTTAACAGGATTGGATCGTTTCAGATTCTTTATGATAGTCTTACTCCGCGGAATTTTCACTCAGGCCTGATTGGTTTGAAGTCCCTTCTAATTGACAGGTTCTTCAAAGCATCAGATCATCTGTCCAAAACTGTTTTATATCTTTATACCTTCTTTCAGTGAGGGGGGAGGTCAGGGACATTTGGGGTTGAATTTGTCCAGGATTGTGAGGAGGCCGAATGAGAAGTTGTTATCAGTGACAGGGCTTTAGCTCAGTGAATTTCGAGATCATCAGGTTTATGCAGCTCGGTGGCAGGGAAAGTCAGCAGAACTGGGTTCTAGTTGGCGGACCACTCAGCTATCTCTGTGGCCTGGGCAAGTTACCTAACCTCTCTGAGCCTTAGTTTCCTGCTGTGTAAGGTATGGCTTTACTCACTTCCCTGGCTTGCTGGGACATGACAAATAATGTATGTGAAAGCTTAATAAAGTGAGGATGGAAAAGGTTCTTCCTCTTGAGGGAAACTTGCTAATCTGCCTTTCTTGCCCCTTTTCTGCTGAGGTATTAATTATGGCTCAGGTGTTCACTGATGAAGAATTGAGGCTACTCATAAGTGTTTGCATTTTATTTATTTTTAATTTTTGTGAAGATTTATTTGTTTATTTTAGAGAGAGGGTGCATTGGGGAGGGGCAGAGGGAGAGGGAGAGAGAATCTCAAGCCAACTCCCCACTGAGCATGGAGCCCCACAGGGGACTCAATCCCAGGACCCCGAGATCATGACCTGAGCCAAAATCAAGAGTTGGCAGTTTAACCGACTGAGCCACCCAGGCACCCCAGAAGTATTTGCATTTTAAAGAAGGTTCTCTAAACCTGAATAGACATTTTTCCAAAGAAGACATACAGATGGCCAACAGACATGTGAAAAGATGTTCAACATCACTCATCGTCGGGGAAATACAAATCAAAACCACAATTAGATAAATCACCTCATACCTGTCCGGATGACTAGTATCAAAAAGACAAGAAATATTGGGGCACCTGGCTCACTCAGTCAGTGGAGCACGCAACTCTTGATCTCGGGGTTGTAAGTTTGAGCCCCACATTGGCTGTAGAGATGACTTAACAAAATCTTTAAAAAAAAAAAAAAAGGACAAGAAATATCAAGTGTTGGCGAGGATGTGGAGACAAGAGAACCCTCTTGCACTGTTGGTGGGAATGTAAATTGGTACAGCCGCTATGGAAGACAATATGGAGGTTCCTCAAAAAATTAAAAATAGAACTGCCCTATGATCTAGCAATTCCACTTCTGGGTATTTACCTGAAGAAAATGAAAACACTCATTTGAAAAGATACACGCACGCCTGTGTTTATTGCAGCATTATTGACAGTGGTCAATTTCCAATAGCCAAGGGATAGAAGCAACAACCTAAGTGTCTACTGACAGATGGATAGATGAATGGATAAAGAAGATGTGGTATATATATATATATATATATATATATATATACACACACACATATTAATATGTATATAATATTACTCAGCCATAAAAAAGAATGAAATGTGGCCATTTGTGACAACATGGTTGGAACCAAAGACAAATACCATATGATTTTACTCATGTGGAATCTAAAAAACAAAAGGAACAAACAAAACCAAACTGAAACAGTTTCACAGATACAGAGAACAAACTGATGTTTGCAGGGGATGGAGGATGGGTGAAGTAGGTGAAGGGAATTAAGTCATTCAGACTTTCAATTATAAAATAAATAAGTCATGGAGATGAAAAGAACAGCATAGAGAATATAGCCAATAATACTGTAATAACTTTGTATGGTGGCCCTTGGTATGGTGGCAGTTGGTAACTAGACTTATCACGGGGATTACCGGGTAAGGTATATAAATGTCAAATCACTATGTTGTGCACCGGAAACTAGTATCACGTTGTAGGTCAACTATACTTCAATTAAATAAAAGCAAACAAACAAACAAAGAGATGCTGTCGACGCAAAAAGAAGCCTGCAATACTTTCAGGAGTTCAGTTCCCCTTTTCACACTGTTGGCTTCCTCTTGTTCCTAAGGAGGGGCCGTAGGCATTTGGATCCTGGTGGCCACTTTCCTAGTTGAGCCTTGAGAAATTCTGGGAAAGACCTTTAAGTCCTTCGCCTAAGTATCTCATTGAAACTGAGGAGAGGTCACCTTTTTTTCCTAACAGGTCCACATTCATTAGCCAGCCAAGCACACCCGAGGATCGATCAGGTAGACATGGTGGTAGTCTAGCCTAGAAATGGGGCTCATTCCACAGTGTAGATACAGACATTTAGACTTGAAAGTAGCTTTAGGAGGCAGTGGAATTAGACAGAATTGGGTTTGAACATTCGCCTCTTTGCCTTTCGGAGGTGTGTGACCCTGAGCAAGTCACTTAACCTCTCTGAGCTTCCAATTCCTTGTTTGTAAAATGCTGGGGTAGGACCTACTTTGTGTGAACGGTGTGCGTATTCAAGGAGATGATGTTTGTAATGCACCTGGCACCACATTAACGTTCAATAATTGTCAGCTTTTATTATCATTAAGTTGAATCACGTGAAATTGTTGCTCCTTTAGGTCGTATGGTTCAACCTAATATTACCCTCCATTTTGCCCCTGCGGAGACCAGATGGAGACCACGAAGGGAGACCTCTGCCTAAGGCCTGCTCCTTTATAGTCCAGCCATTTGACAGTGTTCATGGCTGTCCGTGCTGCAGTCTGATAAACACGGATTATCCCTTGTAATCAGTGATGGGAGATTTCCTGGCTAACCTTTTGAAGTTTACAATCCTGAGGCTGACCGTTAAGGGCAGGAGTGATTTCCTTTTCCCCTTTCCATCCTTTAGACAAAGCATTGCCATCATCAGACAAAACTAGGGCGTATATGAGCTTTGAAGCATATTGAAGGAGCAGCTTTCGGATAGTTTGTACATGTTAGGGGGGCTCATGCGACCTTCTAAAGATCCTAAGGTGCTAAATGAGATAAACCCTTGAGGTCATTTTCAATCTTCAAATTAGAGGACCATTAACACGAGAGATAGGGATTTGTAGATGATTTTTTAAAAAAATACAAGGTCAGGGGCGCCTGGGTGGGTCAGTCAGTAAGCAGCTGCCTTCGGCTCAGGTCATGATCCTAGGGTCCTGGGATCGAGCCCCAAGTTGGACTCCCTGCTCAGCAAGGGGACTGCTTTTCCCTCTCCTTCTGCCTGTCACTCTGCCTACTTGTGCGCGCTCTCTCTCTGTCAAATAAATAAATAAAATCTTTAAAAAGAAATAAAAAATAAAAACACAAGGTCAGTTTTAAGTGGCTGCCCTCCACCATTGTTTTAGCAATATCTACTAGTTTCCCAATCTGGCAAGTAGAAGGAGGATCTGGCATCAAGTTTTGTTTTTGTTTTTGTTTTTGACTTGTTGTTCTTAAAAAGAATGTTGATGTATGTGCTTTGGCATCAGATTAGATCTCTTTCATCACCCAGAGATAGCAAGTCTTACTAGGTGAATAAATTAAAAAGCTATTGTTCCATCCAGGCATCCAGAGAGGCAGGAGCTGAATCCGACTCTCTTTTTCTACTGAGAAAGGAATCTGGAATTGGAAAGGTGTGATCCAGCCAAATGAACATTGGTCCTGAGGGGGGAGGGACCAGTTCAGGACTCTGGCCTTGGTTTTTGATAAATTTTCAAAGAAGCCCAGATTCCCCAAGGGGTGGAGCAGAGTGTCCTACAGCAGCTACCAGGGGAATGAGTCACCACAGCCGAAAGTCACGTGGGAGCCGTCAGCCGGATCTCATCCAGATCTGTTGGGAGGGATTTAGTTCCTTGTCTGATAGAGGTGTGCTGGACTTGGTGATCATTGACAACTGGGGTTTCTCCTTTTTTTCATGCCAATTTAATATTGTTTACCTTAAGCTTTGAAATATTTTTTTAAAGATTTTATTTATTTGTGAGAGAGAGAGAGAGAGAGAGCACAAGCAGGGGGAGGGGCAGAGGGAGAGGGAGAAGCAGGCTCCCTATGAGCAGGGAGTCTGATGTGGGGCTCGATCCCAGGACCCTGAGATCATGACCCGAGCTGAAGGCAGACGCTTCACCGACTGAGCCACCCAGGCGCCCCCGAAAGAGATTTTTAAAAATGATTTTGTTTTTCCCCCTACTATCTCTTTTCTCAGTGGTTATTATTTTTTAAAGATTTTATTATTTGACCGAGAGAGACACAGCGAGAAGGGGAACACAAGCAGGGGGAGCGGGAGAGGGAGAAGCAGCCGTCCCGCAGAGCAGAGCAGGGAGCCCGATGCAGGGCTCGATCCCAGGAGCCTGGGATCATGACCTGAGCCGAAGGCAGACACCCAACGACTGAGCCACCCAGGCGCCGCTCTCAGTTATTATTTATATGCCCCAAGGACAAGGTTCAGATTAAGTACTAAAGTATTTTTTTAATTTAAAAAATTTGATTATAATAATCTTTGTGTAATAAAATTCCTCAGCCCTCTCACTGGAACAGTATCTAATATAAGAGAACTGGGGTTTTTCCCATGCTGATTCTAATTTATGGCATTTAACCATACATGTTCTGTCTGGTATCTTCAAAGAACAGAGGCTGCTTCCAAACAAGAATTATCAAGGATCCTTGGGTCAGGGTGGCTCCTTCAGGGGTATATAAGACTTGAGCTTAGTAAAATTGTAACGTTGGTGAAATTTGCACTTGAAACTTTTGTGCCACCATTACCATGATCCTCGGGCTGGTCTTCTAGACTATTACTGGATTCTAGAAAGACTATTACTGGTGCTCGCTTCGGCAGCACATATACTAAAATTGGAACGATAGAAAGACTATTACTGGATTCTAGAAAGCTTTCTGTTGGCATAACTGGTGTGTTCCATCCCTGTAGGCAGCAACTCTATAGAAAGCCAAATGATAAGTAGGTTTCTTGTGAAGGAATCAGAAATTAGTTGTGCAAATGTCCTTGACTTAGAGTAGCTAGAGGTCTCACTGAAGGTAGGCATAGCTTTGCCAGTAGGACAGAAGTACTCATTGTCTATGGGGCCAAATCCCCTTCTTTTCTCCCTGCCAGAAGTTTGCTCACACACCTTTGTTTGTCTTTTCTTCAGAGCTGACCAGCTGGCTCCCTTTTCAGAGTGCTGTCTTGCCTGGACCGAAGAGCTATTCAGTCTCCCTGACGTGATTTTTTTTCATGCCTTTGCTATGATTCGTTAATTATTGGTTTGCTAGCTACCTCTCTGAGAGCATCCTTACGTCTTGGTTTTGGGAGTACCTCACAGTAGCCCCCATGCTCAGCAGGCCACAGGCATGGGAAATGGCAGAGTAGCTCCTTAAGGGGGCAGATAGAGGTAAATGTGACAAATTTTCCACTTCGGGGCCATCAGCACGTATATAAAAGGAAATGCTCTCTCCAACTTGAGTCAGAAACCATTGCAAAACAGGAAGCTCCTTGGAGCTCTGATTAAAAGCAGCTTCATTCTTAATCCAACTCTGTCCGCTTGGGAAATGTTAATTTCCTAAAGAGTCCTCTAATCTCATTATTCTGAATCATAATGACCAGATTTGTGATTTATATCTGTATGCTGTCTATAAGTTGGCTTTCTGTAGTTCCACAAGCCCATCTACTTTTCAGAATAAGAGTGTGGTATACTCAGTGCACATAGCAACGTTTAAAATTTCTGTGTTTGTGTGAGGTAGTCAGAATGGTCAAACAGTACAGAAAGATGTTTAATGAAAAGTCTCTCTTTGGTCCTCGGGGCCTCCTTTACTTTCTGTCCTCAGAAGTGACCAGGATTACTGGATTCTTTCTTTTTTTTTTTTAAAGATTTTATTTATTTGACAGAGAGAGACACAGCGAGAGAGGGAACACAAGCGGGAGGAGGGGGAGAGGGAGGAGCAGGCTTCCCGCGGAGCAGAGAGCCCGACGCGGGGCTCCATCCCAGGACCCCGGGACCACGACCTGAGCTGAAGGCAGACGCCCAACGACTGAGCCACCCAGGCGCCCCGGATTACTGAATTCTTAAAGCAGTTTTTACCTTGATCTTGATAGTATACTGCATCTAGTTAGGAAATGAATTTTTTTTTAAAGATTTTATTTATTTGAGAGAGAGAGAGAATGAGAGAGCATTGGGGGGGGGGGAGGATCAGAGGGAGAAGCAGACTCCCCGCTGAGCAGGGAGCCCGATGCGGGGCTCGATCCCGGGACTCCGGGATCATGACCTGAGCCGAAGGCAGTCGCCTAACCACTGAGCCACCCAGGTGCCCAGGAAATGAATTTTTTTTAAGATTTATTTATTTTTAGAGAGAGAGAGAGGGAAAGAGAGGGAGCGCAAGGAGGAGGGGCAGAGCGAGAGGGAGAAGGAAACCCAAGCAGACTCCATGCTGAGCACGGAGCCCGATGTGGGGCTTGATCTCACGACCCCGAGACCACGACCTGAGCCAAAACCAAGAGTCAGACGCTTAACTGACTGTGCCACCCAGGCGCCCCTAGAAATTTAATTTTGATCATCTTATTGTGTTTCCTTTAAAATCGCTTTTAGACAGTTGATGTGTTAGCGTGGTAGGTTTATAGGCAAATGTCATGATGTTTATACATTTAAAAGGCGGGAAATTGTCTTTTATCTATACCAGGGTTTCTCGGCGGTGGCACTACTGACATTTGGTGCGGGATAATTCTTTGCTGTAGGGGGAGGGAAAGCTGTCCTGCGCACTGAGGCATGTTCAGTAGCATCCTTGGCATCTGCCTACCACATGCCAGTGGCAGTGCCCTCCTAGGTTGTGACAGTCAAACATGGTCCCGGGATTGGGGCTGGGGGCAGGGAGAGCAAAATCACCGAGGTTGAGAGTCACTGACCTGTGCCATCTGATAACCTTCCCCTTTTTTTTTTTTTACACATTTGAACATGCTAATGTTTTATTACCTAAGTGTTTTGCTATATGTTTGCTAGAGCAATAGCTTTTTACAATTTCCTTACCTTAGAAAATTGCTCCTGAAACCCATCGTTCAAAAGAAGTGCCCCTGAACGAGAGGATTTGTCTGCAAGTGGGGTCCCAGTGCAGCACCAATGAAAGTGACAATCCTAGCATTTTGGTGGAGAAGTGCACCCCGCCCCCGGAAGGTAACAACCGAAAGCACTGTTTGTTGGTACTTGGGGGAGAAAGGCAAATTGTCCATATGTTCATGTTCAGTGTTCGTTAATTCATTCAGTTTTCAAATATTTGCTGAGTCTGATAAGTTCCAGGCATGTTACTAGGTGATAAATATGAGGACATCCCTGCCTTCGAGATGCTTACGACTTGACTCACTGTGCCTCAGAGTTCTATAGCGGTTAATCACTCGGCATGCGATGTACACACACGGACGCCCTCCCCTAAATTGAGCCTCAGAAGCTTACCTTGCGAAGCGAGCAAGGCATGGATTATTACCCTGCTCCATTTTATGAGCAAGAAGGGAACTGAGTGGGTTACTCTAGGTCTTCAGATTACCGGTCCAGTGCCTTAAGAAAACCCCAAATACTGTCTTCCTCATTTGATAGAAAGATTAGCTTGATAGACAAGATGTATTTGGGGAAAGATGTTAGAAAAGGAAAATGGGCCTGCTGGCCTAGCTCCAGTTCAGGACGAGCCCTAGGAAAAGCGGCCACGTGGGCAGGTTGGGCCTTGGCCCCCAGGCCCCTTCCTGCCCATCATCCATGTCCTGCTGGCACTTGGGCTGTGTGCAGGGAGGAGCTTATCCTGATGAAGGGCAGGGCTTCTGGAGTCCGGATGTCCATGTTTAAGTCTCAGCGATGCCAGTGAACAGCTGCGTGACCTTCAGCAGACGACTTAACCCCTCCCCGCTTCACTTTGCTTAGCTGTAAAATGGCCTTGATGGTAGCACCTGCCTCCCAGGACTGTCGAAAGGGTTATGGAAGTCAGTCTAGGTGAGGGGTTTAGAACAGCGCCTGGCAACGCATAAAGGCTGGATGTGTATCATCTAGTAATCCCATGTTGCCCCTTGTTTGGAGGGTCCCATCTCTCCCACTTCCAAACCTTAGCACTATGTGGCCCGTTCTCCAGGCCTTTCCCTCTACCTGCCTTGCACAGATCAAAAGTATATGAAGTCCCATTTGTAAAACTGTAAAATTCAGTACTGCCACGAGGCTGGGAACCTGGTTTGAAACAACTTACTGCCCCATTCTCATTTCTTTAGAAGTTTAATAAATAATACGAAAAAGCCTAAATTGTACTATGGCATTAAAATGGTTGATGATGCCTCCGGATAATACTCCTTCAAGAATCCGGACACGATGCCTTAACTCAAAAGGCTATATTATAAAGGTAGGGATTTCAGATGATAAAGATTATATGGCTCCTAAAGTCTTAACACACAGTAAACAACTACCAAGAGTTATATTAATGCTGACTTTCCCCCAAACTGCTTCAGGAAGAATGTTTGCTTCGTCTTTAAAACAACATGTGTTAGTATTGGTCAAAAGACAGGAAGGTAAATTTTAACTCAATAGACTTGTTTTCTTTAAAGACGGGTAGATATATGGGTTGTTTGTGTTTTCACACTCATTTAGGAATGCCATACTCATTTCCTACCACTGAAACATTATTTGACCATGAAACTCTCTCTCCAGTTAGGAATACAAAGTTAGGGTCCCTCAGTGATAGTAAAGATATTTTCTTGGGATCTGGAGGTGAGAGAGAAAGTTGTAACAAGTTAGATTTGGGTTTTCTCCATCCTGGGTGACTTCTGTGTAAAATGGTATGAGAAATTAGGGATTGGCTTTCTGGTAAAACACTCTCACCATCCCTCATGCCCCAGGGGGTTTGGCGGGTTTGGCTGACAGGGAAAGAAGCATCCTAAACCCTTGGCTGGATCTTCTAGGTGATCCCGAGTCTGCTGTGACTGAGCTACAATGCGTTTGGCACAACCTGAGCTACATGAAGTGTACTTGGCTCCCTGGAAGGAATACAAGTCCAGACACCAACTATACTCTCTACTATTGGTGAGTGTGTATGGGAGACGTGTGGGGGAAGGACCGATTGTGATTGTTTGGGGAGCGTTGGGATCTAACCTACTTAAAAACCGAAACCGAAGAAAGAACATCCTGGTTTTGGGGGCTTTGTTTATCATTATTTTTTTAAGATTTTATTTATTTATTTTGAGACAGAGAGCATGAGCACGGGGAGGGGGGTGCAGAGGGAGAGAGAAAGTCTCCAGCAGACTCCCTGCTGAGCGTGGAGCCCGACGCGGGACTCGATCTCACCACCCCGAGATTGTGACCTGAGCAGAAACCAAGAGTCGGATGCTTAACCAACGGAGCCACCCAGGCGTCCCCTAATTATCATTATTTTTAATTGAAGTATAAATTAACACACAATGTTATATTAGTTTCAGGTGATGACATAGTAATTCAACAATTCTGTACATGACTCAGTGCTCACCTTGATAAGTGCAGCCGTCACCTGTCACCATACCACGTTATTGCAATATTACTGACTATATTGCCTATGCTGTGCTTTGCATCTCCCTGACTTATTTATTTTTTATTTAACTTATTTTTATTTAACTTATTTAACTGGAAGTGTGTGCCTTTTAATCCCCTTTGTCTGTTTCACCCACCCTCCACCCCCCTTCCCTCTGGCAACCACCAGTTTGTTCTCTGCATTTAAGAGTCTGTTTTGTTTTTTAGATTCTACATAGAAGTGAAATCATATGGTATTTGTCCGACTTCTTTCACTTACCATAATATCCTCTAGGTCCATCCATGTTGTTGCAAATGGCAAGATCTCATTTTTTTTTTTTTTTTTTTTTTTTACGGCTGAGTCGTATTCCATTGTGTATATATACCACATATTCTTTTTACAAATCCAAGAAGATGGGCAGTTTGCTTCAGTGGAAGGTGCATCTGCTTTTGGTGTCTACTTTCTTTAAAAAGTAACTGTAGATCCATAGGATGTTGCAAAAAATGTACAGGGAGATCCCAGTGTACCCTTCATGCAGTTTTTCCCAAAGGTAACATGGTCTGTAACTAGAAGGCAGTATCAAAACCAGAAAGTTGCTGTGGTTACAATCCACTCACCTTATTCAAATTTCACCAGTGTCACATGCACTTGTGTGTGTGTGTGTGTGTGTGAGTTCTATGTAATTTTATCACACGTGTAAACATAGAACAGTTCCATTACCACAAGGATCCCCTGAGTTGCTATTTTATGCCCATACCCTCTTCCCTTCTGCACCCCTCTCCCGCCTTTCCCTCCCCCAAGTCTCTAACCTCTGGCAATTACTAAACTCTTCTCCATCTCTATATTTTTGTCATTTCAAGAATGTTACTAGAATAGACATAGCATATAACTGTTTGAGGCTGACTTTAAAAAAAAAAAAACTGCATAATACCCTTGAGGTCCCTCCAAGTTGTGTGTATCAGTAGTTCATTTTTTCTTTTTTTATTCCATGATGTGGATGTGCCAGTTTGTTTAAACATTTATTCATTGAAGGATATCTTGGTTCTTTCTAATTGTTTGCAGCTATGAATAAAGCTGCTATAAATACTTGTGTTCAGGTTTTTATGTGAGAATAACTTTTCCTATCTCTGGAAGAAATGCCCAAGAGTGCAGTTGCTGGGTCATATGGTAATTGCATATTTTGTGTTATAGCCAACTGCCAAACTATTTTTTAGGGTGGCTGTATCATTTTACATTCCCACCAGCAACGTATGAGTGATTGGTATCTACCTTTAAAAAGGAAAACGATATCATGCCCGGTGATAAAAAGTAAGTTGACTCAACACCTGAAACTAATGTAACTCTACATTGATGATGACATATAATGACATACTCTACAAATGATGATGATGTAGAGTTGTATGTCAACTCTACATCAATTAAAAAAAATTAAGGAACTGATGAGAAAACAACTATTAAAAAAAAAGTAGATTAGCTCCCCACAAAATAACATATCTGAGATTTGTGAGCACATCCACAAAATGTGTTAAATTTCTAAATTGATCTTTAAGCATTTCCTTTCTTTTAGAGCCTAGAATTATTAGCAGCAGAACAAGGAAGAAAGGACCAGGTTAATCAGTTCAATTCAGCAGGAAGAAAGGACCAGGTTAATCAGTTCAATTCAGTAAGACTTGACTTGGCGCACATTGTGGGTAAAGCACTGAATAGGCAGCAGAGATAGGAAACACGGCTCTTTGCTCATAAGTTTAAAATGTAGAGGGGGAGAGACAGCCCCCAGCCCAATTACCTGTATAAAAATAACAGTGTCTGATGAAGGCTAGCAGAGGCACAAATGCTCTTTAGAAGCTAGGGTGGAGCTTGGGGGTGGTGGCAGGGCAAGGCTGGGGGGCTGGGATGAAGGGGGTGGACTGCACCCATGGGGGGTTTCTCTGAGCACGGGCGGCGGCGGGGGGGGGGGGGGAAGAAGGGCCATGTTCCGTCTGTGTGACACCAGGCTGGGGAAGGGGGAGAACTTTGCGTCGGCAGTGTGCTCTCCCCATGGCCTTGTCCCTCCTTCTGTCCTTCATTCAGACTGCTTCTGAGAGAATGGGGTGCGGAGGGCCACGTCCAGGACTTCCGAAACTGTAGGATAAACATGGCCTCGGCTCCCGGAACGTCCATCTTGCCCGATGATGTGATGAGACAAATTTTTGGCATCTCAAAGCACTCTGCGAATCCCGGCATGGCATCGCGGGACTCTCCGGCCAGTCCCCTGCGGGCTCGCTGAGAAAAGCCCGCACTCTGCTCCCCTGCTGCACGCGGGGTGCTCCCCGCCGAGTGCGCCTGGGAAGCCAGACGGCACTGAAACTGTGTGGTTCAGTCTCGAGGGTGGTTTTTTCCTCCCGAGATCAACAATTCTCATTTGAGGTTTTGTAGTTTCACTGGCCCACTTGTGGTACTTGTTTCTCCTTTCATTAAAGCCCTGCAGTGGCTCCCTGGTGGCTTTGGGATAAAGTCCAAACTCCTCAGCACTACGGACAAAAGCCCTTTCTGACCTGGCTCCTTCCGCCCCCGTCTGGCCCCAGCTTCCTCCCCCTCCGTCTGTGCACCCCCACCCTCTCGCATCCTCCCCTGCCGTCCAGCCAGCGCCCAGCGCCTTTCAGTTCCTCAAACAGACCCTTCAGCCACTCGAACAGAACAGTGGCAGCACGCCACGTCCCCGTGTAGCGAGGACCTCGTCCTTTCACCTGGACACCTCTGCTTTGTCCTCAGCTCAGCTCAGACATCACTTCCCTTCCAGAAAGCCTCCCTTGACCTCTCAAATCTAGATATGTGCTGGGTCATCTTGTCCCGTGGTACCTTGCACTTTCCTGTGTCCTCGTACTCAGCACGTTGTGTTGTCACTTCCTGTTTACTTAGCGGTAGCCCTCCCCGGGCTGCTGTCTCCCTTGAGAGCTGAGGCTGTGTCTTGTTACCCTCAGGGCCTGACACATGGTAGGGGCTCCAGAAATAAGGTTGAAATGTGCGGTAGGGTCCAAAGCTTAGAGAACATTTGGGATTAGCGTGAGGACCTAGGAGGGGTAAGCAACTCAGGAGCATTATGGTCCAGGAGGAAAAAGAGAAGGACCTAGTCGGTCAGACTCCCCCAAGGAATTGCTAGTGAAGGGGCCAGAGGACTAAGCCTTAAAAGGAGTACCCTGGCTCGGAAGATGTTGCAGTGAAGTCTGGGGAGAGCTGTTAGTACAGGCTTTTAAGATGTCTTAGAAGTTGGTAGCATCCAACTTTTTTTGTGTGTTTATTATGCTGTTAACTTCTCTTGCTTTCCCTGGAGTAGTTACTGGTAAAATCACAGGGAAAACCTTTAGAATCTGTGTCTATAGAAGGTGCAGGGGAAGGAAGGAAAAGTATGAAAACCGTCCCTCGTTCCATGGCCACCTGTGCCGGAAAGCAATCAGATATTAGGAGTCAGGGCGGTACTGGAGGCAAACAGTGGCCCAGTCCTTGGAGTTCTGAGCCCAAGATAGGCAAGGGCCTTGAGGCATGTACTAGCACAAAACAAGTCTTTGTGCCAATCGCAAAACCTGCGCCCCCTCTGGGTGAATAAATTATAAAAAAAAAAATTGTACCCACCAATTGGAACAAGCATTCTTCTTCCTCTGGGCTGAAAGATTCCTCTTCCTCTGGGCTGAGGCAGCATCTTGCCAAAGCTGAGAGCAGATGGTGCTTGGGCTGGCTATCAGCCCTCAGTTGATGCCACTGTGCAGAGTATAACCTGCAGCCATTGGGGGTGGGTCACAAAGCCATCCCAAGAGAGTGGTGGTTCACTGGTGCCCGAGGAGGCAGGTGTTAGGGACACCACTTCTTGTCATGCGTGTTCCCAGCATCGGTCATCAGCGTGGACTCTTTCTGTAGTACATACGACCTGTGCTGTCCGATACAGAAGCCACAACTCCCCTGTGACTGCTTAGATACGAATTTAAATTCATTAAAATTAAGTCGAATTAAAACTTCAATTGCTCGGTCTTACTGGTCACTTTCACGCGTGGCTAGTGGCTCCTGCCTTGGACAGCACAGATAGCAAACATTTCTGTAATTCCAGAAAATTTCCTTGGACAGTGCTGGTACAGATTCTATATTCTTCTGCCCTCGGCACTCTGCAGCTTATTCTTTTAACAGATTATTCTGTTAAATGGGCATAGTAATATTAGTGCTACCTCTTAAGGTTGGTGTAAGGGCTGTTATTGGGTGAGAAATATTTGGAGCTGTGCCCAGCTGCTAACACATACAGAGTAAGTGATCAGTGTGTGAGAGCTATATTTTTTTTATTACTATTATTCATCCTCACTCCCTTGTAGATGTAGCTGGTATGCATCGGTGGCTTCTTACCCCACTTGGAAGAATTAGCAGCTAGTCCTTACCTCCTCTACCCCTGTCCTCCCCTAGAGAGAGCCTTTCCAATCAAAACCACAAAAGAAAGGCAGATGCTTGGCTCGTTCATTATCAAGCACTTGGAACTGGTTTAGGTACCAGTTTAAATCATGTCAAACGAACTGCCAGAGACTGTTTCCCTACTCCCCAGTCAGAAACTGGAATCACTTTGAAGCCCCAGGGCAATGACTTGTGGTTCTGCAGGGCTAGTCTGGCATTGAAAGGAGCCTGACCTTAATAGCTACAGACTAGGGGCACCTGGGTGGCTTAGTCGGTTAAGAGTCTGTCTTCAGCTCAGGTCATGATCCTAGGGTCCTGGGATCAAGCCCCATGTCAGGCTCCCAGCTCAGTGGTGAGTCTGCTTCTCCCCTCTCCCTCTGCCTCTCTCCCTAGCTTGTATTCTCTCTCTCTCAAATAAATAAATAAAATCTTTAAAAAAAAAAAAAAGTAGCCACAGACTAGCTCTGCCAATGAATTTTAGGGAATTTCTTACCACATTAACCATCTTCAGAGTTGGGGAAATTGTCTTTAAATCTGTCCATTTCCTCCTTATGTCTATAGTGTGATTCTGTGGAAGATTTCAGTGTCTGAATCTTCACAGGAAGCACCTGAATGCCTTCTGGCTCAGGTTCTTATCTAGCATTTTGCAAGAAGTCCCCAAAAGTTGTCTGTTCAAAACCCAATATTTCCCCTTTTGTTATTTTGTCCAAATTTACAACAACAAAATGTTTTTAAAAATTTCTTATCTGGGGTCCGTGAGAGTATCGTGAAACACCCAAGGTACAGAAGTGAAAAAGGAATCTTAAAGATTGCCCATTAGAGAAGTTCCTTTCACTGGTTGAAAAAATTAATTTTCTGCCTAGTTGTTTTTTTTTTTTTAAGTTATGTAACAAAAGTGTCATAAATTTCTTCAGTTTCTGTTTCTGGGTGTGGGTGGAAAACATTCCAGGCCTGTCTGATCTAAAAACTAGCCATGGCACTAACTTAGAAACTATAGTTTCTAAGACTGTATTCATTCATGAACCACAGGGGCCTACAACTAGGAGAAAAACTTTATGTACCATCTCTTAAGGGACAAGAGCATTTTCTGTATTTTTTAAAAAGATTTTATTTATTTATTGGAGAGAGAGAAAGCACAAGCAGAGGGAGCAACAGAGGGAGAGGGAGAAGCAGGTTCCCTGCAGGGCTCGATCCCAAGACCCGAGCCAAAGGCAGATGCTTCACTGACTGAGCCACCCAGGCGCCCTGCATTTTCTGTATTTAAATATTTCTTTGCATAGCCTTTGAAGGAGTAAATACATTAGATCTGAGTTTTGGGGTTTGTTTTTAAAGACTTTATTTTTGTAGAGAAGTTTTAGATTTACAACAAAACTGAAGGGAAGGTACAGAGATTTCCCGTGTACCCTCTGCCCCCACAATTCATGGCCTCCCCCATTTTCTGCATCCCCCCCGCCAGGGTGGTACATTTGACACAACTGATGAACCTACGTTGATACATCCTAACCACTCACAGTCCATACTTTAACTTCAGGCTCCCTCTTGGTGTCGTCTTTACTATGGGTCTGGACAAATGTATAATGACACATGTCCGTCATCATAGCCTCCTCGTACAGAGTATTTTCATTGCCCTCAAACTCCTCTGTGCTTTCCCTGTTCATCTTTCCCTCCGCAGCCCCTACAGCTCTGATCCTTCATTGTCTCCACAGTGCTGCCTTTTCCAGAGGGTCCTGTGGTCAGAATCCTACAGCATGCAGCCTTTTCAGATCGATTGGCTTCTTTCGCTTCGTAATGTGCATTTACATTTCCTCTGTGTCTTTTCCTGGCTTGATACCTCTTTTTTACCATGCTGAATAATATTCCGTTGTCTGGATGCACTGCAGTTTAAATATCCACCTGCTGAAGGATGTCTTCATGGCTTCTGAGTCTTGGCCGTTATGAATAAAGCTGCTGTAAACATCTGTGTGCAGTGTTTCGCATGGACATAAGTTTTTGACTCCTTTAGGTAAATACCGGGGAGTGTGATGACTGTTCGTATGGTATAAGAGTATGTGGCGTTTTGTAAGAAACTACCAAACTCTGCCCCCAGAGTGGCTGTAGTATCTTGCATTCCCGCCAGCAGCGAAAGAGCATGCTTGTCGCTCCACATCCCCCCACCCCCTCGGCATTTGCTGGTGGCACTGCTCTGGGTCATGGCCATTCTAATAGGTGTGTAGTGGCATCGTGTTGTTGTAATTTGCATTTCCCTGATGACATACGGTGCGGAACATCTTTTCAGACGCTTCTTTGCCATCTATATTTCTTCTTTGGTGAGGTGCCTGTTTTCTTATTGTTTTAAGAATTCTTTGTATATTTGGGGGTAACAGTCCTTTTCAGATGTGTCTTTTGCAAATATTTTCTCTGAGTCTGTGGCTTGTTTTCTTATCCTCTTACTACTGATTTTTGCAGGGCCGAAGTTTTTTAATTTTAACGAAGTCCAGCTGACTGATTATTTCTTTTCTAGATCCCTGTCTTTGGGGTCGTCACCACACTGCAGCTCATCTAGCTTTTTCCCTCTGTCATCTCCTAAGAGTTTTATGGTTTTGCACTTTACATTTAGGTTTGTGATCCATTGTGAGTTTAGTTTTGTGAGTGGTGGAAGGACTGTGTCTAGATTCAGTTTTGCATATGGACGTCTGTCTAGTTGTTCCAGCACATTTGTTGAAGAGACTGTCTTTTCCCCCTTGTCAAAGATCAGTTGACTGTATTTATGAGAGAGTATCTGATGTGCAAAAGAATCCCCTGGAGAATCGCTGTCAAAATGCTGATGCCTCGGCCCTGGGCAGAACCTGTCAGTAGGATTCCTGGGAGAGGGCTTGAGGAATCTGCATTTTATACAGCTACAGATGACTCGGAGGTAATAAGTCAAGGGTTTGGGACTCGTCACTGTTAGGTCATTCTTAAAATTGCCTTCCTTTTCTGTAGAACCTTTGCACAGCTCCCATTATGGCTGAGGTAGGGCTTGACTCTGGCTTCTGCCAGCTACTATAAGACAGAACCCTCTGACACCCTAGAGAGAGAAGTGTCACGAGTACCTTCTGTGGACCCGCACCACACTGGGTGCTGATGCTCACTGGGGAAAGGTGTGTGTAGAGGTTCGGGATGGGAAATAAGATGCCAGCATTGCTGCTTATTGAAGGCATCTAAAGCCACAGCTGGAGTAAGACATGTAGAAAACCACTGGGTTCTGGAACGTTGATCTGGCAGGGGTTAGAGGGCACTAATAATGAAGGTCAGAGAGGTCCTTCTGGAAGGGACATGAAGCCTGAAGTGATGAGGGCACGAAACAGGGTGAGGGTTCCAGGAATGTCGCAGGAGAGAATCCAAGAAGCTTTGCGAAGGAAGAAGTAACAGAATTTGGTGACAGCATATGGGGAAAGGGGAGGGGGGGAAAGGGTGATTTCAAAGGCCTTACTCAAGGAGTCCAGAGACAAGGCGCTCTGACTGATGGGAACGGGGAAGTTCAGAAGACAGGCAGTTTGGCAGGGAAGAGAGGGCATAAGGACGTTGACTTTGAGGCCGGAGTGGAGGACTCCAATGGAGCGGTTAGAAATCTGGGACTAGCTCCGAGGAATCCCCAGTGTAGAAATTCTAGTCTAGGGACAGGCGTGATAAACTGGGGGAGAATGGATGAGGGAGGAAGCAGTAGAGAGGAAAGTGCAGAGGGCGGAGGACCGAATGTGAACCCTCTGAAAAGGGGAAAGGGAGGAGAAGCCACGAAAACAAGGCAGGCAGGCAAAAGGGCCAGAGGAGAACCAAGGAATTCAGCAGATGAGGCATTTTCAAGAAGCCCAAAACTTCTCATGCTGGCCTCATAACATCTTTCATACAGAAGACGAAAAGGAGTCAGGGCTCCTATAGTTTCCATAGCTAATGAAAGCACCAGTGTTAGGGCGCCTGGGTGGCTCATTCAGTGAAGTGTCTGCCTTCGGCTCAGGTCACGATCCCCAGGGTCCTGGGATCGAGCCCCCATCGGGCTCTCTGCTCAGCGGGGAGCCTGCTTCTCCCTCTGCCTGCCGCTCTCCCTGCTTTTGCGCTCTCTGTCTCTTCCTCTGACAAATAAATAAAATCTTTAAAAAAAAAAGAAAGAAAGAAAATACAAGTGTTTGGGGCGCCTGGCTGGGTGACTCTTGATCTCAGGGTTGTGAGTTCGAGCCCCACATTGGGTGTAGAGCTTACTTAAAAAAAAAAGAAGAAGAAAGTACCAGTGTTCATCAAAAAGGAACATTCGTTTCTTCCTAGAGTATGAAACAGAGCCACATTATAAAATAGGGTTTTAAGAAAAGTTATCTTTCCATATTGCAAATGTTGCCTTTCATGGTCCTCTTCAGCCATTTAAAAGAAAACAAATGTCTGCCTTTGTTTCCTGAACACCTTGTGAAAAATAATCCAGAAGGTTGTCTCATTATATCTTGCAGGCACAGCAGCCTGGGAAAAATTCTTCAATGTGAAGACATCTATAGGGAAGGTCAACACATTGGTTGTTCCTTTGCTCTGACTAATTTGAAGGATTCCAGTTTTGAACAACACAGTGTCCAAATAGTGGTCAAGGATAATGCAGGAAAAATTAGACCATCCTTCAATATAGTGCCTTTAACTTCTCATGGTAAGTTTTAGAAGTCCTGTACAACAGTGTGGATAAAAGTGTTACATCTTTCGAACAGTCAATACAGAGAATAAAAAAGGGATGACTTTGGTTTTAAGATTTTCCCAGAAAAAAAAAAAAGGACTGTATTTATGTATACCTTTATTTGATTTTTTTTTTAAAGCAGCAGGCTTGGAAATTCTAATATTTCTTGAGTATATGTGCACATGCTTTGCTCTTGTTTGCTTCTGAGTGTGCCAAGACTTCGAACACACAGTCAGTTGTAGAATCGAGTCTGGAACCAGGCTCTCTGACTCTTAAGCTCTGTTCTCTTTTACTAATGATGCTCGAGAGGATGATGCTGCAGAATAAAATCAAATATGGTTCCTGAATAATCTTTCTCTTAGTTGAAAAAAGGCTTCAACTGGAGGAGGAGTGATCAGAAATGATTCAAACTAGCTAACGTGTGGGGTGGTGTAAGCCCCGACCGCTCAGAACAGCCCACGCAACCAAATGTTGGCCTATTAGAAAGAGGCCTCGACTTGAAAACACAGTATCTGCTTGAGCTCCTAGGTCTTCACTTTGGACAAAGCATATAAACTCTCTTTGTTTCCTCATCTGTAAAACAGGGTCCGTAGTCCCTCTTGACCTCAGAGGACTGTCCGAAGTTCCAAATGATGTGAGGTGTATAAGTATTTTGTAAATCTCTAAAGCAGACTACTACTATAAGCATCGTGTTTATTTATTTGTTGCAAGATCCCAACGGAGCACAGATTCTGGTGAAGCGGTATACAGAAAATTTATAGGCACATAACCATGAATTGACAAAGGTTCCCAAGTCTGGGAGCAGAACACTATTTGCCACCCCTTCAGATAGTCACGCAAGTGAATTCTAATTGTGGACCGAAGGCCAGGGGAGTGAGGTCGTGGTAACTTGCCAAGTGGGATAATCTGAAGCAAAGCCCTTTGCTGTCCTCCCCCTTGCTTGGTGGATTGTCCTCGGTGAACCTTTTATTTTATTTTAAAGATTTTGTTTATTTATTTGACACAGAGAGACACAGAGAGAGAGGGAACACAAGTCAGGGAGTGGGAGAGGGAGAAGCAGGCTTCCTGCCCAGCAGAGAGCCCGACGACGTGGGGCTTGATCCCAGGACCCTGGGATCATGACCTGAGCTGAAGACAGACACCTAACGACTGAGCCACCCAGGTGCCCCCTCGGTGGACCTTTTAAAGCTCATTTTGCTCTTCTTCTTCCTGGAGATTAGTGGCGACATAAAGGGAGATCCTTCTCAGCTGGAAGATGATATTTTCGAGTTGTGTTCTGCTCATCTTCCACTCTCTTCTGTCACTTAGTCTGAAGCGTAGTTGACTCCTGAAAAACTAAATTGACTAGGCTAATTTTTTTTTTACTTTAATTGTGGTTATAATCACATAACATTAGATTTCCCATCGTAACCATTTCTAAGTGTACAGTTCAGTAATGTTAAGTATATTCACATTGTTGTGCAACAGGTCTCTAGAATTTTCTCATCTTTTAAAACTGAAACTCGATGCCTCCTAAACACTAATTTCCCCTCCCGTAGCCCTTGGTAACCAGCTTTCTCTTTTCTGTTTCTATGATTCTGACTCTTTTAGATCCCTCATATGGGTGGAATCCTGCAGTGTTTGTCCTTTTATGATGGGCTTATTTCACTTAGTCTAATGTCCTTGAGGTTTGTCCATGTTGCAGTATGTGACAGAGACTAGGCTAATGTTTTAATTGTGGTCTTTGATTGACACAAGTGAGTGGCAGCTGAGGAAACCCCTGGTGCCCCTCATTATCCATTAGGTGGATGCACATCTGGACCCAAGTGCTTCTTTTCTTTATTCTCTGTGTCACAGCTGGATATCCTGGTGATACCCCAGCTGTGTTCTCACTGGATCGATGCAGGTCAGAGTTCACATCATCTGCCAGACACCCCAGAGATATTCTTTGGATCCATTTTATGAGCAGTTTAAAATAAGCTTTCTACATTAATCGTGACCTTCATTATGTCTACCCGTATATGAACCTCATCACAAATACTCTGGAAGCTAATTTGTGTTCTTCTGTTTCTGTTTTTCAGTGAAACCTGATCCCCCACATATTAAACGTCTCTTCTTCCAAAATGGTAACTTGTATGTGCAATGGAAGAATCCACAGAATTTTTACAGCAGATGTTTATCTTATCAAGTAGAAGTCAATAACAGCCAAACTGAGACGAATGATATTTTCTACGTAAGTTTTTCCTAGCTAGTTGATTTTATTTGGATATTTTTCTTTCACTTGAATTTCTTGTAGGGTAAGAAATGGAAACATCAGTGAAATGTAGCTCTTAGATTTGTCACCTGATGGTGACGATGGTGATGATGAAATTTCTTGTCTGAAATAGGGCATGGTGGAAGGTTTGATGGTTTATGGTAGGAGCTTTAGCTGTAAGATTCAAGCCATTCATCAATTCATTTGCTGAACAAATTTTTTTTACATATCTGCCATGTGCCAGGCACTGTTTTATGTGCACATGACCCTGACGAAAAGGTCTGTTTTTCCCGTGAAGCCTACCTACTAGGAAGTACATATGTAAATGAGCAAGCTAATTTCAGAGCATGAATGCTATGAAGAAAATCAAATGGGTCATGTAGTAGCATGATGGGAGGGCCTGCGGGAATAAGAGGTTGGGTCGTCATCCGAAGTGACGACATTTGAGATAAGACCAGAGTGACAAGCAGGGGCTAGCCATGTGAAGATCTGGGGGTGGAGGGGACAGCAAGTACAAAGACTCTGAGGCAAGAATGAGCTTGGCATGTGTGGGAGACAGAAAGGAGACTGGTGTGGCCAAAATAGAGTAGGGAAAGACATGTAAGCAGGAGGCCGGGGTCCGATCTGGTAGATACTTTGAGGCTCTGGTGGTGGCCATTCCATGGTCTTGGAGTTCGTGGCAACTAGAGTTGTCAAATTTGAGTAGCCTGTAGTTGTTGGATTTGGTACATTTATGCTGTTGGGAATCTAGTAGAAAACCTACTAATGAGAGGTCCCTGTGGGCCACTGGGCATAACAGGATGTGGGGTAACCTTGGAGCATCGGTCCCATTGTTCCGCTTTATGGTAGAGGTCACACACTCGGGCCTTCAACGCTTTTGTCTGAACGACAAACCAAGTGGGGTTTTGCTTAAATTCGAAAATTTTTGCCCAGATTTAAATACCGTGGTCCCCGGGGAGTGTAGTTTCCATAAGGTGGCACCTCAAGACCACAGGGACTGTGCTGGTCACTGGCGTGCCAGCCACCCCAGGCCCCGGGGTGCATTGGAGTTGGAGAAGTTCGAGACCAAGGGTTTTATATTGGCTTTTAAAGGAGCCCCACATCTCGCACATGGACAAATTCCTTGGTCCAGTTGTTTTAGCTTACCATGGGAGTTTCAAAATACTAAAGCCAGTGTTGACAGGCTGTAACCCCAGAGGGAGTGCCCAGGTCCACAGCTGACCAGAGCTTTTCTGGGCAATCGCAGGTGAATCTGTTTGCTGAAACAGAATAGTCACTCTCCATACCAGAAACCGGTGTCCCCATATGGTACTGCAAAGGAAAAAAGCAGAGGGCTTTCACGTGGGGAGAAGGTGAGGCTTGGATTTACAACGAAGTCAGCTGTCAGAATGACTACTCCGGCCTTCACTGCTCTCTTCTGTCTGAAATCCTGAGACATCATGCTGCTTGTATTACTCACTTGGCACTGAATTATGTCCTGCTGGTTCCCCTGATCACATGGGTAGGCCTTGTGTCCCGACTAAAAATAAAAGCTCCCGTAGGGAGGAGTTAGTAGGTAGTGGTGTTTACTTTGTGCGGCTCCTGCTAAGAGCGGCTGACGTGGATGGAGCGATTACTATGGAGTAGGCATTTTCATAAGCACCTTATCTCAGCTGTCTCGTGTAGTCGTCACGGTAACCCTGAGGATCTGGGGCCCGTGCTTTTGTTCCAGTTTCACAGATGAGAAAAAGGCAATCTCAGAGGTTTACTCCTAAGGTAAGTGGTAGAACCAAGATTTCAGCAGGTCTGACTCTAAAGCTTGTGTCCCTAACCCCGGTGGCCACCTCAGTACTTCCTCTTAACTGTCCCGGTCGTCACTTGGTGTTTATGATGCGCTGCACAGATCCTCTTCCAGGCACTTCTACAATAGCCTCTAACAGTCCATGAAATGCTTCTATCTTAACCTGTATTTTATTGAGAAACTAAGGCTCAGAGAGGTAAAGACACTTGCCGCAGGCCACACAGCTGATAAGTTGGTCTTTATGTATTCAAAGGTTGGTCTTCACATATTAAACTTTGACCGAGAGCGTTTGGTCTAACACCATGTGCATAGTCCTCACTTAGGAAACTCTTGTTGAGGGGCGCCTGGGTGGCTCAGTCGGTGAAGCGTCTGCCTTCGGCTCGGGTCATGATCCCAGGGTCCTGGGATCGAGCCCCGTGTCGGGCTCCCTGCTCGGCGGGAAGCCTGCTTCTCCCTCTCCCACTCCCCCTGCCTGTGTCCCCTCCCTCGCTGTGTCTCTCTCTGTCAAATAAATAAAAAATAAATAAAAAAAAAAAAAAAAAAAGAAAAGAAAAGAAACTCTTGTTGAACTGAGTTACCTTTTTTTTCCCCACAAACTTCTGCACTGAAGAGAATGTACATACTATGGAATTTATCCTCCTGAATCCAAACCGTAGTCTATTTGGAATTAACTCTGTACATTTGAGTTGAATGTTCTTTCTCCTAGCAGATGTTCACCAGCTGCTTCCTCTCCTAAAATGTCATCAGCTTTTTGTGTGCTCACTGATTTTGAGCTCTGCTGGTTAGACCTTTTTTTTTTTTTCCCCTTTTTGCAAGATTTTTTGAGGAATTCTTTTGCCTGGTGTTGCAGTTAAGAAGGGGAAGTTGGCTGGGACATGAACTGGTGCCGTCACAGGGGGGCTCTGGTCAGAGGTGGCTCATGACAGAATCACAAAGCGAGGACCGACCTTTGAGCAGCCCGCTTTTCCACACACGATCGATCTACTTGGCCTTCTGTGCCCTTGTTTTCCTTTCCTCACAGAGTTATCTGAGCCGTGGATAAACCGTGCAAGGGAATTTACATTTGAACAGGAGCCCAGAACCTTCAGTTTACACAGTGATGTGCCAGTTTGGGAATGGACACGCATCTGGGAGATGGCCCAGGGGAGGGAGACAGGAACCTGCAACCTGATCCCTCAAGCACTAGTTGGTACTTGGGATTCCCCTCCAGGCCTCTGATTCCCAAGTGGCTTTTTCTCTGCCGTATAGGAAGCATCAGTAGGATGCTCTTCGTCATTCAGTTGGCCTTTCAGCTCCTCACAGATGTGGCTAGGGACCATTTAGTAAATAACATTCAAGATCAAAAATCAGAGCTGTGTGTTCTGGCCTTCGTCTCATGTTTAAACGTCCCTTTGAAAGAAGCTGGCTGTTTGTTCCAGCTTTATTGAGGTACGGTTGACAAGTAAAACTATATATATTTGGGTTGTACAGTGTGATTATTTTCAAGGTGTACAACGTGATGACTTAATATACATATGTCTTCCGAGATGATTACCACAATCATGCTAATTAACACATCCATCACATCACACCGTTACCTTCTTTTAAATGGTGAGAACACTGAAGATCTACTCTCTAAGCAGATTTCAAGTATACAATGTGGTAGTGTTAACTGTAATCACCACGCTGTACATGAGATCCCCAGAACTTACAACCAGAAGTTTGTACCCTTTTGCCCAGCATCTCCCCATGTGCCCCGATCACCCAGCCCCTGCAACCACCATTCCACTCTCTGCCTCTAGGAGCTCATTTTAGATTCCACGTTTAACGGAGGTCATAGAGTGTTTGTCTTTCTCTGACTTACTTCACTTAGCACAGTGTCCTCGAGTTTCATCCATGTTGTCACAAATGGTAGGATTTCCTTCTTTCCCATGGCTGGATGATATTCCATTATATATATATACACCACATCTTTATTCATCTGTCAGTGCACACTTGGCTTATTTCCATATCTTGGCTGTTATAAATAATGCTGCAGCAAACATAGGGGTGTGTATATCTTGTATCTTTTCTTTCTTTTTTCTTCTTCTTTCTTTTTGTTAGAGAGAGAGCACATGAGCGGGGACAGGGGGCAGAGGGAGAGAGAGAATCCCAAGCAGGCTCCACACCCAGCGCAGAGCCCGACGCGGGGCTTGATCTCACAACCCTGAGATCATGACCAGAGCCGAAATCAAGAGTTGGACACTTAGCCAACTAAGCCACCCAGGCGCCCCAGCGGTGCATGTAACTTTTCAAATTAGTGTTTTCATTTTCTTTTTTTCCCAAAGATTGATTGATTTTAGAGAGCACGTGTGTGAGGGGAGAGTAAGAGGGAGAGAATCTTAAGCAGACTCCCCACTGATGCGGGGCTCCATCCCACAACCGTTGAGATAATGACCTGAGCTGAAACCAAGAGTCAGGATTCACTGACTGAGCCACCCAGGCGCCCCTATTTTCTTCAGAGACCCAATAGTAGAGTTACTGAATCATATGGTATTTTTTTTAATTGAAGTATAATTGACATATGGTGTTAGTTTCAGGTGTACAACATATTTTTTCAACAATTCTGTACATTTCCCAGTGCTTACCATAAGTGTCACCATCTGTCACCATACAATGTTATCACAGTATTATTGACTGTATTCCCTATGCTGGTATTTCTATTTTTAACTTTTCGAGGAAGCTCCATACTGTTTTCCATAGTGGCTGTACCAATTCACATTCCCACCAACAGGGCACGGAGGGTTTTCTTCTCTCCACACCCTTGCCACCAGCATTTGTTATCTCTTACCTTTTCGATGATGGCCATTCTAACACGTATGAGGTGATACCTCATTGTGTTTTTGATTTGCATTTCTCTGATGATTAGTGATGTTGAACATCTTTTCATATAACCTGTTGGCCAGAAGTAGACTATACTAAGCAACAGATTTTCATGTGTTGATTTTTTGCTCCAGTTTTGAAATATTTGCATTTTAGGAACTGATCTTTCTCTTTCCATCAGACAGCAAATGACTTAAATTGTGTGGATGAGAATTTTGCATTATACTATCTTTACTCTAACCCAGTTGTTTTTGATATATTATACTCTCAACAAGGGAGACTGTTTTTTAACATTTTTTTTTTAAGATTTTATTTATTTGTTAGAGAGCATGCTTGAGAGAGAAAGAGCAGGAGCAGGGGCGGAGGGAGAGGGAGAAGCAGGCTCCCCACTGAGCAGGGAGCCCGACACAGGGCTCCATCCCAGGACCCTGGGATCATGATCTGAGCCAAAGGCAGATGCTTCACTGACTGAGCCCCCCAGGCGCCCCTGTTTCTTTAACTTTTAATTGACGTATTGTGTCCAATAGAAAAATCACACTAGTTGTTATGTAGTGCTCAGTGATTTTTCACAAGTGATTTTTGCAAATGATTTTTCACTTATGTAACCAGCACCTCAGAAGCCCCATCGTGACCCCTTTTGGTCACTACCCTTCCAAAGAACAACTGTTAGTCTGACTTCTAATCCCATAGATTAGTTTTGTTGCCTCTTTCTAAACTTTATATAAATGAAGTATACAAAATTTACTTTTTTTTTAAGATTTTATTTACTTGAGAGAGAGCACGCATGCACAAACGTGGGGTAGGGGCAGAGGGAGAAGCAGACTGCCTGCAGATCAGGGAGCCTGATGCGGGGCCTTGATCCCACGATCCCACGACCCCATGACCCCAAGATCACGCCCTGAGCTGAAGGCAGCTGCTTAACCGACTGAGCCACCCAGGCGCGCCCAGAATTTCCTTTTTGTGTGTGTCTGCCTTCTTTCACTCGATGTTACAGAGTCACAGATATTGTTGCCTGCAGTTGTCAGTGTTTCATTCTCTTGCATTCATTCCATTCTGTCGCTATGTCACATTTGATTTCTCCATTCTCCCTTTGGTGGACATTTGGATAGTTTCCAGCTTGGGGTTTTATGAATAGAGTCTTTATAAACATTGCCTACTTGTCTCTTGGTGTGCGTGTGCATACGTTTCTGGGGGGCATGTGTGGCTCAGAGGCTTACGTAGGATTGTCTCTAATAGAGAATAGGACTTTTCCCAAATGGTTGTGCCAGTTTACACTACTAAGAGCAGAAATTGAGAGTGCTAGATGCTTCACATCCTCAACAACACTTGGTATTGTCTGGTAGGTGTGTGTATTGTTATCTTGTGGATTTAATTTGCATTTCCCTGAGAACTAATGAAGTTGAGCACTTTTGCACATGTTCCTTATCGATTTGAATACCCTCTTGTGAAATGCCTGTTCAAATCCTTTGCCAGTTTTTCTGTTGGGTTGGGTGGGATATAGGTATATATGTGTGTACGTATTATATATAAATGGAAGTATATATTATATGATATGTATACATGCAAGTCCTTTGTCAGGAATTGCAAATAGCTTCTCTCACTCTATACATGACTTTTTTTTTTATTTCCTTAATAGGATATCTTTGATGAACAGAAGAAGTTTGAATTTTAGTATAGATGACTTCATAACAATTTTTCCTTTAGGGTTAATATATTTTGGTTTTATTTAAGAAATCTTCAAGGTCATGAAGATGTTCTACATTTTCTTCTAAAATCTTGCTGTATTTGTGTATCTGTTCAGTTTAACTTTCACATTTAGATCTGCAATCCATCTGGAAATGACTTCATAAATAGCGTGAGGTGTAGGGGTCAAGATTCTTTTTTTTTCCTGTATGGATATGTAATTGACCCAGCACCACTTATTAAAACAAAACAAAACAAAAAAACCCAGCCTTCTTTCACTGCACCTGGTCCTCTTTTGATAGGATAAAAGGAAACCTTGTTAGAAATAGTTAAATGATATAATGTAGTCTCTTAAATTTTTTGAATTTATTTGTTTTTTATATCTTCAAGGTTGAAGAGGCCAAATGTCAGAATTCAGAATTTGAGGGAAACCTGGAGGTCAGTAAATTCAACTTTAGCTATTTGGGCTTAAAGTCATAGAATAATTGGGGGTGGGGCAGGGCGACCATAGCCTAAATTTGAACTGCTTTGAGAAAAACAGACTCCTTTATTCTCTGGGTTATTGCCAATTGTTAGTTGAGGAGTTAAAGTCAGATAATTTGGACTGCAGTCCAAGGCTTAATCATATACAGAATTTGGCAGATAATTGTATTTAGGATTCAGAGGCGGAGAAAGAGAGTAAGCTGATAACATTCCTTGTGTGTTTTTATTTTATATCTAAGGGTACAATTTGTTTCATGGTCCCCGGTGTTCTTCCTGATACTTTGAACACAGTCAGAATAAGAGTCAGAACAAATAAGTTATGCTATGAGGATGACAAACTCTGGAGCAACTGGAGTCAAGTGATGAGTATAGGTAAGCGAAACCGGGCTTCATCACAGTGTAAGCGACCGATGCGCGGGGACTGAGCTGAAGCAGAAAAGAGACTGGGGCGAGGGGTTGTCCTGCATTACTGATGTCATCCAGAGAATATCTACAACTGAACTGTGTTTTCTGTTTAATTACTGTCAAATCACCCAGGTTCAATTCACAATGTACAGCTCTTTGAAAATCCACAGTCCAAAGGGTGTTATTCTCTCTTCTGTCCTGTCTCCATCTTCTTAACAACCTGAACAAAAATATCAGAAGGCAGGCACGATTAAATCTGCAGATTGTGCAATGCTAGAGGGCTAGCCTGTGTGCTGGTGACAGAATCGAGAGTAGAACAGTGACCTTGATGTCATTTAATAGAGATCAAACTGTATCTAGGTTTGAAAACAACAGTTTCATTTATTAATGGAGTGGCTGAGCAAACTGTGTGTCAGGCCCAAGTACAGGATTGGAAAGACCTATGCTTTATGGGTGTGTGTGTGTGTGTGTGTGTGTGTGTGTGTGTGTGTGTGTGTGGTGGGGTGGGGGCATAGGGTTTTATTGAACTGTAAGCTCAGAGTGACTCAGCATTGACTTAAATATCCCCCAAAGGCATATGCAGCCATAGGCCGCAGTGAGGGTGCAGCACCCAGAACAAGGGAGTGCTACGGGGTGGGGATGCAGTGTCCCAACCACCTCACAAGTGTGCGGTATTCGATTCTGGGCACAACACCCTAGGAGGTTCAGTGGCAGACTGGAATCTGTCCACAAAAGGGGTAACAGGATGTGAAAGAATCTCAAAACTTTGGGGGGAGTGGTTGATGAAGCCAGCAGAGGGGTGAGGAGTCCTGATTGCAGAATTCTAATATTTGGGCTTTTGTTAGGTAGAAGAGGGAATAGGTTATTTTCTTTCGTGGCTCCACGGGGCAAAATAGGACCAACTGCAGAACCTTCTAATAGTTCTCTAACGGTCAGAGAAACAGATCATTGAGGTAGGCAGTTCCCTATTAATTGAGGGACCGAACAAGCTATGGGCCAGGCATGGTTGTATTAGTTATGAATTGTTGCATAACAAAGTACCTCAATACTTGGTGGCTTAAAAGATACATATTTACCATCTCATAGTTCCTGTGGGTCAGGAATCAGGGCCCCGCTTAGCTCAGTACCTCTGGCTCAAGTTCTTTCGTGGGGTTACAGTCAAGCTGTTGGCTGGGCCTGCAGCCTCATCTGAAGGCTTGACTAGGGCTGGAGAACCCACTTCCAGGCTCACTTTTGTGGTCGTTGGAAAGCCTCCATTCCTTGCTGGCTGCTGGATGGAGGCTGTGGCAGGTTGAATCATATCCCTCAAAAAGATACATTCAAGTCCCAACTCCTATACCTGTGAATGTGACTGTATTTGGAAATAGAGTTTTTGCAGATGTAATCAAGTTAAGATGAGGTCCCACTGTCTTAGAGTAGGCCCTAAATCCAATGACTAGTACCCTCGTAAGAAGAGAGGATACACGGAAACACCGAGAGACACACAGACACACAGGGAAGAAGGCCCTGTGAGGATGGAGGCAGAGAACGGAGTGATGCAACTACAGCCTTCAGGAATGATGCAGGAACACCAGCGATTCCTGGGGGCCACCAGAAGCTAAGAAGAAGCAAGGAGGGATCTTTTTTAGAGCCTTCAGAGGCAGCATGTCCCCGTGGATACCTTGATTTTGGACTTCCAGGCTCCAGAACTGTGAGAGAATACATGCCTGTTTTAAGCCATCTGGTGTGTGGTGGTTTGCCACAGCAGCCCTAGGGAGCTAATGCAGAGGCCTCCCTCGGTGTCTTGCCCCTTGGACCTCTCCAGGGGGCTGCCTCATGAAATGGCAGCTAGCTTGCTCAAGTAAGTGACCCAAGCAAGAGTGTGTGAGAGAACACCCATGTGGAAATCACAGTCTTTCTATAACCTAATCTTGGAAATGACGTCAGCGCTGCTATTCAGTTCTTTACAAAGGACAGTCAGTCCAGCCCACCCTCAAGGGGAGGAGATTACATAAGGGTGTGAATATCAGGAGGCAGGGATCATCTGGGGTCACCTTAGAGGCTAACACAATGATGCTAGGCCCTGATGTTGCTTTCTAGATGGTCATGCCCTAGTGGAAAAGATGAGCCTATAAGTAGGCATGACATTCTGTGTGTGAGGTATAGCAAGGCAGTTAAAAAGCTCTGGAACTTTTTGGACAGTGTCGGATTTGAGGCTTGATGGCATCACTTCCGAAACCCTTCTGGACGAGCCATTGAACCCCTGTGAGCCTTGTCCTTCTCATCTGTATAAATGGGAGATACTATTACGTATCTCTATTGCATAGATATGAACATGTACAAGCCCTTGGGATGGTATCACGTATATAGTAGATGCTCAGTTAAGAAGGAGTGGTAGTTCGGGTTAATTTAATACATGTTCTAATAGTGGTAAGTAACCAGTGAAAGGTAGTCACTGTTAATGAGATGACCTTTTTTAACAGGTCTAACATTGTGAATAGTGTCCAAAAACTAGTTAAGATATCCTGGTATCGGATAACCCTCAAGGTGTTTATTTATCCGCGCGGCATTTTAGGCCCTAGAGCAGGACTGTGTTGTTCACGATTAAGGGAGCAGAAGATAAGATAATCAAAGAGTTTTGGAAAGTAGGTTGGGGCGGAGCGCAGACATGTCTGTGATCTCGCTAGTTTGAGCCAACCATTGCTTGGTGTTTTTTTCTCAAAGGGGTCGATTGCTCACGTTTTGTGTTTGCTTTCCAATTTGCCAGGTGAGAACACCGACCCCACGTTCTACATAAGCATGTTGCTCGCCACTCCGGTCATTGTCGCGGGCGCAATCATAGTTCTTCTGCTTTATCTCAAAAGGTGAGGCCGCGGCCCCGGTCGGCCTGGCAGTTCCTGCTAGCCTGCGGGCTCCAGTTACTACTCTGTGAGGGTGTTGGGTGTTTGGCCCGGGTATCAGGAGCGCTTTGGCCATAAATGACCCGGCTAGTATTACTGCAGAGCAGGTTGCGGCTTAAAGCTGTGGGAAAGAACGCTTCAGCGAGTTGCGTGTGATTGGATGGTGCTCTGCGCACGCCAGCGGAGAGCCACGGGAGTGGAGGCCGGAGCGGAGGCCAGAGCCAGCTCCCGTAGGCCGTGGCAAGGAACTGAGATTTTTTTTTTTTCCTAAGCATGATGGGGACCCATTGGAGAGTTTTAAGCAGGGAAGGGCCACGACCTGATTGTACTGTCATAAAAGGTCACCTCACTTGCTGAACGAAGAACTGGCTTGCGCAAGAATGGCAGTGGGTAGGCCAGGGAGGAGGCCTTGCAGTGGGTGGGGGGGGGGAGGTGAGGGCGGCCTAACCTAGAAAGTGAGCAGCGGAGTCGGTAAGATGTGGTCAGAGGTGGGATGTATTTGGAAGGGCGAACTGAGGGTACTTGCTGAAAGCTGCTCATCCATCCGTGGAGGTCTGAGGCAGGTACTGAGGGTTCAAGGAGTGCTCAGACATGGGGCTTCAGCAACTTGAGTGAACGCGGGAGCCGTTTGCTGAGACGGAGAAGATTTGCGACGAGCACTGGCTGTAGGGCGAAGGTGAGGACTTCAGGTCTGAACGGAAGTTCGAGATGCCTAGTAGATACCCAAGTAGAGACGTTAAATGGGTAGTTGTGTGATGAACCTGGAGTACAAGGGAGAGGTCTGGGCCGGAGATCGAATTTGGGGAGCCCTCGGCATGTAAACAGACCCGAAGCCCTAAGACTGGAAGAGATCACTCGCAGAGCGAGTGGGATGGAGGGTGAAGGACAGAGCCCTGGGCCACACCAACGTTTAGGGCCCAGGAGATGAGGTGGGGCCACCAAAGGGTACTCTAAGGTACAAAGATGGACAGGGGGAGAAGAAGAAAGAAAAATTGAAGAAGAATGTACCCTGTTCTCAGAAGATTATTTTTTTCAAAATTATAAGCAGTAAGCCCCCATCAGGTCTCTGATGAGTAAAGCACCATTATTATTTAAATAATAGGGGAGAGTGCACATGCCTGCACACTTGTGCATGCACACACACACACAGAGTCATAACCATGTGAGGTGATGGATCTGTTAATTCGCTGGATTGTAGTCATCATTTCATAACGTATACATATATCAGAGCACCATGTTCATCTCAAATGTAGATGATTTTTATTTGTTGAGTATATCTCAATAAAGCTGGAAAAAAAGTTTTTTTTTTTTTAAATATTTTATTTATTTATTTGACAGAGAGAATGAGATAGAGAGAGACAGCATGAGATGGGGGAGGGTCAGAGGGAGAAGCAGACTCCCTGCTGAGCAGGGAGCCCGATGCGGGACTCGATCCCAGGACTCCAGGATCATGACCTGAGCCGAAGGCAGTCGCTTAACCAACTGAGCCACCCAGGCGCCCTGGAAAAAAAGTTTTAAAAATGATAGGGTATGAGCAGTCTGTTTCCCCTGATGGCCCCTTTGGTCTGCCCATACTGGGTGCTCTCAGGACATCGGTCTCTCAGCTTCTTGTGAAATTTCTTCACAGCCGCTTCATCATTCAAGATGACTTCTATACCATGTCTTTAGTCCAAGTCTTCTTTTAATGTGGCTTTTTTTAAGTGGGGTGTTCCTATGGGCTGGAAGATTTGATCAAAAAATGTCTCTGTTTTCTTAAAGGCTCAAGATCATTATATTCCCTCCAATTCCTGATCCTGGCAAGATTTTTAAAGAAATGTTTGGAGACCAGAACGATGATACTCTGGTAAGCCCTGATTCCAATGAAGTTTGAAATTGGTTTTTGTTGGGAGGCTATGGGATTTGTAAAGAGTTTGGTAAAATACACAAAACATAAAATTTGCCATTTTGACCATTTTTAAATGCACAGCTCGATGGCATTAGGTACATTCACAGTGTCGTGCAGCCATTGTCACGATTTCCAGAACTTTTTCATCATCCCAGATAGAAACTGTGCCAGTTAAGCACTAAGTTCCCATTCCCCCCAGCCCCTGGTCACCTCTTTTCTGCTTTTCTGTCTCTCTGAATCTGCCTCTTCTGGGTACCTCGTGTAAGTGGAATCCCACAGTATTTGTCCTTTTTTGTATCTGGCTTCTTTCACTTAGCATAATATTTTCAAGGTTCATCCATGTGGTAGTGTATGTCAGAACTATATTTCAGAATGGGTTACTTTTTTGTAAGATTTTACTTACTTATTTGACAGAGCAAGCACCAGAGGGAGAGGGAGAAGCAGACTCCCCGCCGAGCAGGGAGCCCGATGCGGGGCTCGATTCCAGAACCCTGGGATCGTGACCTGAGCCAAAGGCAGACACTTAACTGACTAAGCCACCCAGGCGCCCCTAACATTGGTTATTTTAAACTTCATTTTATCTAAAAGATTAAAGAAGAGGCAGTTTATCATGTTGTATCCCAGGGGCGCCCGGCTGGCCCAGTCAATAGAGCGTGTGACTCTTAATCTCGGGGTCATGAGTTCCAGCCCCACACTGGGCATCGAGCCTGCTTAAAATAAATAATTAATTTTAAAAAATGTGGTATCTCATACTAAGCATACCATTTGAGAAGTCCTCAGAATACTTTGCCCATCTCATCTCATGGGACTTCATTCTGTCCCGGAAGCAGGGAATCTGTTTAATCCAAACATTCAAGGAGTGGAGCCTCCATGTTGAAACCAGTCCATAGACAGAGCTTCTGACTCTTGGAGACGTGGGGAAATATAAAGATAGGGTAAACAATTGAAATAGATTCTCTTCGTGTTATTGCCTGGAAAGCTGGCCTCTGAGGACAAGGCAAACCCACCCGAACTGTTATGGTTAGTTTGCTGCAGACTCTCATGCTAGAATTTGTGGCTGGAAAACCCAAGACCTCAAGGGAACCAAAGAGTTTCAGGTTTCCCTGATAAGTACATTCACCCACATAAAATAACAAAGACACTAAATGGAATAAATATCAATATTATTACATATATTTTAAATTAGTAATATCAGGCACAGGGCAGTTAATTTAGTGAAGTAGTACAGCATAGCACATAATGGCCTGGGCTCTGGAGTCAGATTGTCTGGATTCAAATCTAATTTACCATCTGTCTGACCTCAGGTGACTTCCTTAACCTCTCTGTGCCTAAGTGTTCTCATTTGTAAAGTGGAGGTAGTGATAGCGCCTGCCTCATGGTGGTGGTATGTGGGTTCAATTAATTTAATACCATAAAAACCACTTAGCACACAAGCATTCATGAGTGCTCAGTAAGCGTCAGTGATTAGTCTTACTGTTGATAACTTTCCATTTATTGTTAATCCCCAAGCAGTTCTTTTTCTTTTTTTCTTTTCAAAAAGTAAGCTCTACGCCCAACATGGGGCTTGAACTCATGACCCCGAGATGAAGAGTCACATGCTGGGCCAACCGAGCCAGCCTGGCGCCCCTCCCCAAACAATTCTTGTCATAACAAGTGATTCACAATAGCAACGATGATGTATAGTGGGGGAAGGAAGGCAGGGAGGCCGATGTGCTTTCAGGAGAGGATGCATCTGGATCACTTTCTCACCAAGTCATGGTCACGCTGCCAGACCCCGGGCGAATAGGGCATCACCAGGCAGGTGGGTCCCAAAGTCAGGTGCCTGATGAGGAGATGGTACACTGTCACCAAGAGGGAATATGGCAACCAGTGGCTCTTCACCTTTAGTTGAGTCACAACCAACTGGAACGCTTGCAAGAATAGAGCATCCCAGGCCCTGCCCCCAGCAAGTCTGACTGCGCAGGTCTGTGACAGGCCCCAGGAATCTGCGTATTTAACAGGAGCCCACAGAGGGTTTCTATTCTGGTGAGATGGTTTGCAGAGCCCACTTTGAAAAACGCTGTTGTGGCTATTTTCCTTAGGAAGAACCCCATCTCTTTCTTCATCTCCCCAGCTAGTGCGCTAGCAGCCGGGGGCTGGAGATGGCGCAGGTCCTCGGACACCTCTGACTGGTCCTTGAAAGTCTGCTGTGTGGATACAGCACATCAGGTGCTGGGCTTCTGTTCCTTACCGTGTCCTCATAAAAAATAAGTTAGGCTTTCAAAGCATTTAATGTCACAGCAATAGACTCACGATACAAGAGTAAGAAACATCATCCCTACAGAGTACACTGCAATCCTAATTTGGATAAAAACACATGAACATACACATAGAACAACGAGTGGAAGGAAAGGAATCAAAATGATCATCTCGGGGCAGAAGGGCTGCGCGGATAATTAATGTTATTCTCTGCCTTTGTGAAATTTCCAAATTGCCTGTAATGAGCAGGTATTACTTTCATAATAAAAAGGAACCATGTACAAGTCATTAAGGGAAAAGAGAATATTTTGGTCATCCGGGTTTGAGAGATAATAGGGACTTGAACTTAGGTCGCAGCAGAGGAGATTGACGCAAGAGACATTATTAAAGGCAACTCATTACAACGTGGGGACTCTGTGGGCGATGAAAGGTACAGAGAGTAAAAATAATCTCAAGGTTTGGAGCCTGAGTGATAGAGTGAATGATGGTAACATTGACAGCAAAATCAGATCAATTATCTTTCTCAGAGATGGGAAAATTGCTTTTTTTCAATTTGCTGTCTAGAGGATAATATGTTGTCCCGATGAGTCAGAATTCTATAATTTAGCGAGGCAGATACACTGACAAGATGGGACCACTAAAAGCATAAGATGTTTTTGTTTGTGGTGGTTGCAGACCATTAAATAAAATCAGGGTTTAAAACTGAAAGTATAATAAAAATGCCAGACAGGGGAAAGGGTAATAGAACAAATTTTCATGTTTTCTTTTTAAGCAAATGAATAATCTTCTTTTCTCTACATGGCAGTAGTTCTCCCCCAGTGGAACTGCATATGCAGCAGAAAGATGAGCCTTTTACTTCTAGAATTATCGAATTATACAGTGAACATAGCCCTACAGGTCATCCAGTGAGGTGGACGTTTCATGTGTTGAATTATTTATCTTTAACCATGAATTGTTAAGATGCTAAGATGCTAGTCCTACCCCCTCATTTTTAGAGACAGGGACAGTGGAGGCCCTAGAGATGTTTCTCAGGGACTGTCCCGAGAGAGGTCATGGCAGAACCTGAACCAGAAGCCACGGTAGCCCAGAGTTACCACCTCCTAATCCCGAGAAATAATCCCTGTCCTTTCTTAATACTCTTCTTCCCCACTACACCATCCATAGTGGTTCTTTAGGGAAAAAAAACAAAAACAAAAACAGAAAAAACCTCATTTAGGTGTGGCCACGAAGGAATGAAATCCTCTGTATAGTTTTTCTTAAGGTTCCTAGTGTTTTGACAGTGTTTTGTTCATCACTATAGTAACATTGTGGCCAACAGCATTTCTTCCTGTGGCTTTGCTGCTTGCCTTTCCTTTGTGACTAATTGGGCTGCGGGCCACGTCTGGGGGGCGGGGGGCTGTGCAGAGGGGATTGCTCTCCGCATCTGCATTTCTGTTTCATCCATAAAAAATTATCTATTCTTCCCCCGCTTCTTGGAAACCAACTATGTTTTCAGCACCGTGCCAGTTTCACATTCCTGATTGGAAAGTGGCTTTCTAACTGGGAGTCGACTTCCAGATACTGCTGAGTTGTTTCTTCCTTTTTTTTTTTTTTCTCGCTTCAGTATGTATCTTTAAAAACTAGGAACGCAAGAAAAATTAGGAACACTTTCCTACATAAGCAGAATAGAATGGCCGTCCTTTTAAAAAGGATTCATATTCCTTAATATCATCTAATACTCAGCCCCTGTTGCAGTTTTTCCAGCTGTCCCCCAATCGTGGGGAGCCAGGTCGGATCCAGTCATGGCACCGTTAGGGACGCAAAGAGGGAGCGCTGTGTGTAGGGCGATAACGGGGTGTCCCCTCCTGCCCCTTGATGCTTATTTCCCCCCTCGCTGGCTGAAGATGGTCTGCGCGGTGCTGGGTTAGCACCCTGTCAGTGAGCGCCCTGTTGGCGCTTTAGCTCAGCTCTGTAGCTAATGCTTTCTGTGCTGGTTGGTCTCCTTGAGTGAATCAAGAATTTCAGCAGGCGTTCAAAGTGACGATTTTTCTCATCTGTCATCTACTCTACATTTATAAGCTGCCCCTTTTCTCTAAAGCACTGCTTTGAGTCATTAACTCAGCTCTTTGGTTTTTCTGAAATTCTGTTTCTGCTAGGAAGGCAGGTATGTGTTTAATTCTTTCCCTTTACTTCTCAATTTTTAAAGACATTTTTAAAGGGTTGGAGCCATAGCCACCTTAAATGGTACCACCTTCATCCCCTTCACACCACATTCAACCGGTTCTTTTTTTTTTTTTTTTAATTTAAGTAAACTCCACCCCCAACGTGGGGCTCGAACTCACAACCCCGAGATCAAGAATCTCATGTGCTACCGACTGAGCCAGCCGGCCGCCCCTCAACTGGTTCCTTTTTTTTTTTTTTTTTAAGATTTTAATTATATATTTGAGAGAGAGAATGAGATAGAGCATGAGGGTCAGAGGGAGAAGCAGGCTCCCCGCTGAGCAGGGAGCCCGATGCGGGACTCGATCCCGGGACTCCAGGATCATGACCTGAGCCGAAGGCAGTCGATCAACCAACTGAGCCACCCAGGGGCCCCTCAACTGGTTCTTTTTTAAGCTGCAATGATTTTTAAGGCAGTGGCGACCCCCAGTTTATATGGTTCAACTTTCTGTTGTGGATGTTGATCTGAAGAAAACCAGGGCATGTAATCCGTTGACTTGTATTCCTACAAGAGGCCACTG